GTAAAGAGAAGAGAAACAGACAAAATGATGACAACTTTTACTAATAGAACACTGAATTATAAATAGTACATCTAGGTAGCTTTGATGATTGAACAGGTAACTTCACATTGGGTTACAAAATACTATGGCCTCCAATTTTAATTTTGTTTAATCCAAACAAAAGTGAATAACACATTATCAAAGAATTTCAAAGTCCCCCTACATGTCAAATTAACAGTGGGTTTTTAAGTTGTCATATCATAAGACAGCTTTATTTTATATGTTTTAAGGCAAAGCAAAATTTCCCAAATGAAGCACCTATAAAATAAATTTGCTTTGGAAATATATTTTAGTGATATTACTAAATTATTACATATATATCTCACTTATTAAATATATATATTTACTTTTACATGATTTACCAACTTGCATCAAAAAATTCAAGTGTTCTATGAACATCTGCAAATAAATATTTTAAAACACTAATATATAAATGAGTCGGTTGGTTTTCATTCAGGTGTTTGGATGTCAACAGTTAGCAAAGGGAAAAAAATAAAAAATAAACTACATATAGAATTTTTCCTAACACAATATGAAAATGCAACATATTGTTGAGAATTAAGTAATTTTTCTGGACCACACATATTGGTGAAACATATGTGTTCTTCTGTTAAACAGAACCCAACAATGCTTAATCCATTAAATTTAACTGTAATTTCCCTTTTCATGTAAATTACTTTCTTAAAGAAAAAAAATTACTCTATAGAAAGCAACTATCTACTAAGAAGAACAAATCACTTTAGGAAAAAATGTGAATTAATGAAAACTGTACTCATTTACTATACCCACAATTGCTATCTGGACATTTGTCTACTAAAAATAGAAATGATTAAAATGTTTGCATGATTTCCAAAGCAGAGTGTGTCATACCTTCAAATTAAGACCTTCCAGCATTTCAAAATAATGTAATTTCTTTACAAATGAAATGATAAAGAATGTTCTTTATTGTACTCATTCTTTAATTTTGTTGGCTATCAGTTTGGCTACACTGAGACCAACTTCATTTTTTTCCCCAATGGCGCCCAACAGACTACCAATAATTAAAACCAATTTACTAGAAAATATTAGGTAGCAATAAAACAAAAACTTCCCCTGGCATATGCCAGCATCCCTTAAATTAATCATTTAAATTACTGTTTCCAGAACTATTGGATTAACATACAGGGTACACTGTATGTTAATATTCAAGTTTCACTTAATGAAGTTTGTTATTAGAGTCCCTTGACCTTCTCTATTAAATATCCAATCTTTAGACATCTGTAGGTATTCTTTATTAGTTGTACTTAATAAAGAATGCCAGCATCGAGGCAGCTGCTTTGACTTTTCCATGCAAAGTCCTGTTGCAGCATTACTGTGCTTAACATATGTCATGAGTACATTGTCAACAGGAGGGAACCAGGCTGGGACTTCCTCTACAGCTGGATCCACATATCCCTTCTGGACGATTCAGGCCAACAACCTGCTCAGGCATCTCAGTCCACTCAACAGTCCTTGTACCATTTCTTTCTGTAGTGATAAAGTTATAAACAGACCAGAATGGACTTCAATAGTCCCCTCTTAAGAAGAGGGTCTAAATGTCAAGATCAGATAGCAACAGCTCAACACAAAAGATATGTTTCCTGGTGATAAATTCTGATGTGTCTGTCCTTTTCATTACATTTCAAGTTCAACCTTCTAAAATAACTAAATCTAACAGCAAATGTACAAAAGACAGAACTACCAAAATGGGAAGCAGGAATAGGATTTTACAACAAGCAATCTAACAATGAAAGAAAAATATATGCCAACAATTAGACTGGGGGACAGAGAACCTGGGGAAAATCCCACTCTCCTTCTGAAAGAACAGTATAAACATGGTCTATTTAATATCTGTAAGTTGTTTTATATATATATATTTATTTATAGACAGATATATCTGATTAAGAAATGTCTAAAGAGACTGAAAATATCTTAAACATATTTATACATATTACCTAGCTATGATACACATTCAAAAATATTAATAGGCAGCAAAAGGCATATATATATAACTTTAAATAAACCACCTACCAAATTATTCTCTAAATGGGTAATGTGTCTAAAAGCCTTTAAATAGTAACACTGGGCTAGTTGAGAGGGTCAATGTTGAAACTTTGATAACAAAGAGACTGAAAAGGTTTCACTAAATTTTTCAGGATCTTATCTTAGAAAATAATAATTAAATCTACTAACATCTCGAAGGGGAGAGTCAAGCCTCTACAACTCTAACAGTTGTACTTTGTAAAAAAGCAAAGAATATCTATAAAATTAAAATAGTAATCTCAAAAATAAAGTCTCTTAGTCTGGTGTTAATATATAAGGAGCTCAGTGGGGCAGGCAGAATAAAGTTCAAAAATGCCAATGACTTTGGTCATCTGCAGAATAAACATGACATGAAAGTTTAAGGGCACTTAAACAGAAAAAGCAAACTTCACAGAGAGGTATTTGAAGCACAAATCTGGTGATAACAGTAGACAGCAAGTAAAAGCCAGAACTCTGGGAAGCAGGATACCAGATAGGCCTTTAAATAAGTGCAGCATGTACGAACAGCTGCTCCCTCAACTTTCAGCATCATTCTAACAAGTGCCCTGGCCATAACAAGACCTCAGTAGCCACATGTGCCGGACAGAGCAGGACTGAAGGAGAAACCACAGTGTTAAGAGGCTGCAGAAGACAAGATAATTTCCTAAGATCCATTCCAGGCCCAATGAATCACAAAATCTTAGGGTATGAAAATGATCATTGGAGTCTTTCCTAACTCATTTTAAATAAATGTACTTGAATTTAAGATTTCTAAATATAGAAAGTACAACTAGCAAAAAAAAAAACCACAAAAAAACAGAAATATGGTGGGCCAGAAAATCAATGAAGAATTAATCAGAGTAATTCCAGAAATTTTTCCAGTTGGTCACAAAAACCTTTTGAACAATTATTTTTAATGTTCAAGGAGAGGGAGAAAAACTCCTATTCATTTGTGAATCTTTGGATCAACAGCTGCACTTTAAACGAATGGTTAAGAAGTGGAATCATACTGAATTTTTAACAGCAGGGACTGTTAGTATCTATCACAACCACCTCAGATAGTAGCTTCAAAAGAGAAAACATTCACTTTTATTTGGAAAGGAAAGGGCATTTTCCTCTTTACACATGCCCCACTGATTTGAGCCCTGATCTAAGCTTCTAGGACAGGCAGGAATAACAGTCATGTAGGCTTGCTGAATTCATCCCTTTGCAAAACAACTGGTTATACTATTGGATTGTTCCAATGATGAAAATATTTGATTTTTATTCATCTGAAATTCACCTCCCTACAGCTTCTACATACTTGTCTCATCTCTGCCCTCTGAGGATACAGAGAATCAATGAACTTTTTCCTTTACAACTTGGGACCTCTTGTATTAGGAGCATAGACATTAAAACACACATCCATATAAACACTTTCATTAACTGTTAATCTTTCACAAACTGTCAAGCAGAAATCATGCCTTTCTTGCCAACATTCCTACAAAACCAATCAGAACCCTGTCTCTCCATTAAAAAAAAAAAAGGCAATTATATTAATACCAGGAAGTACACAAATTGCACTGTCAGACACATTGGCAATCCAAGCCCATCACGTGTGTCCCTCAGTAGATAAAACATGCTCACTTTAGTATTTGTTCTTCACAGGACACCCTAAATCAAAAAAATAACTCCACAATTTAATGCTAGTGGATGTCCCAAGAGCTTACTGCCACCAAAATATGGCAAAGAAACATAAAATATGGCAAGAAACAAATATTTGTAACATGATATTACAGTACTTAAAAATCCACTGGATAGATTGTACCTATTACCAGGTAACTATATAAAGAATAGGAAGTAATAACAAAATAAGAAAAGTAACAAAGGAAAATTTTTTATGGAAATTTCTTTTATATTTGGTAATACAGAGTTAAAATAAAATTTTTAAACCCTCTTAAAATTTTTTTCATTTTATACCCAAAAGAGAATTTTTTTTTACTTGTTTTCAGCTCTGACTTGCAGCTTCTCACAGTAATAATCTGGGTGTATAAGCTTTAAAAAATGCTACCAAAGCTCTTCTAAGGGATTTATATTTTCCAAAGTTATATACAAATAACCTTTAACATACTTCCCATTACTAATTATAATGGCAGTTAATTTTACTTCCTCTTTAGTCTGTGCCTAAAGTTATATAATATTAGTAACACACTGTCATCTACCACATTATCTGAAGGGGTGGTACTCTGAGACTTGAGTTATAGCAATCATCTTTCATTGGAAATATAACCTCAATATTGGTCCAAAAATCAGTACTTTAAAGAAAATACCAGCAAATACTGCTAGACACAAGTTTGTGTAGCAGGGAAGAGCAAGGAGTAAATTGATAATTTGGGCTACTGTCAATGCCAAACACATGAATGAAATACCTTTAAAGGTATTTGAATTTCCATGCTTCTTTCATTTTGCAACAGAGGCCATAGACTCGGCCAATACTTCTATGTTGATACTATAATCAGAGCATAAAAACCATGATTACAATAATTCATGCTTGTATAGCCTTTCACAGTTAACAGAAAAGTTACCATAGGCCTTACCTAACTGAGCCCTCACAAGAACCAAACACTACATTGTTATCCAAGCAGGGGACACTGAGCCCCAGCAAAGGTGAGTCACTTATTCCATGTCATGGAACCATTAACTGACAGAGATGATCTCCTGACTACTACTCTGGGGCTCTGTTAAACTGCAGAGGGTTCTGTGAAAAGTTACTCTTCAAAATGGAAATAGAAATAGGACAAAACCCAGATTCATCAACTCATGAATTGTTTTTGCTCACTCTGGATGCAATCTGGTTCTTAGCCATAACACACACATATGGGGAAATGGGGGGCAAGGGAACAGTGATGATTGAAAAATAAAACACACTCCAGGTGAGAATAGTTTTGATTCAACATTTTAACATTATTTGTGGAAAATACCTACTATACAGACTCACAGTTATAAAACTGAAAAGACCTTGAAAGTCTTCTGTAAAATATAGTGATGCACACAGAGCAGGGAACTCCCCAAGGGTCACCCTGTTATCTGCTAACCCATAGCAGAGCCAGGACCATACAGAGTCAAGGTCTCTTCCTCTCCATGCCCTGATTCTATCTTCCAATTAAAGGACTAAGTACAGTCCAAATATTTACAAGGAACCATCACAGTGCTAGAGAGATTAGAAAATTAGATCTTACCAACATCATAACTGTAAAAATTATTAATATTTTGCATATCATTTAAAGCAGCAGGAACTTTGATTCTTATAAGAAAAATAATCAATGTATGTATCTTAGGCTCTCATGGTCAACGTTAAGAATAATTCCTAAAATATGACACTTTCTTCCCTTTAGATACACAGGGGTTTTTTGGATTGTGTTATAACAGATGAGTACATTCAAAAACAGGATAGTTTCACAAAAGTGTCCACACCTGTAACCAACGTAAAGATTAAAAAAAACCCCAATAACTTAATATTTCATCATCTTTTATAGATATAGGTCTCTTCAACCTACAAAGTACATTATCACATCCCTGTTCATGCCCTCTTCCTTTTTCAGAAGTCTTCAGGTCATTGTCAAGCTATTTTAAATTAAGTGATGTTTATTTCCCCTTTGAAATATAAATACTAGGCAACAAAATATCTCTGAAGTTTAAATGACCAACAAATCTAAACTGGTTCAACTTGTAAGCTATGTGCTACTTAAATATTAATTTCCACATTAAAAAAATAAATAATCTAATTTGACTTTATTGTACCTGTAAGTCTTTTAAAAGACTTCATTCCCTACCAATTCAAATCTAATATGAAATTGTTTTTGGAGAGGCAAAATATAAGAATTTTCTAGATACTAGCGAACATCATTCCATAGGAAAAAAATTATGTAGACCAACAGTAAACTACTCAGATGATAGAAAATATTGACAATAAAATTAGTTTTTTGTCTCTTATTCACAAGATCATTTTTCCACTTTAATATAAGGTCTAATATACAGCAGATGTCGATGTTAATTGAGGGAAAAATTCCATCCTTCATGTTCTGTTCAATCTGAGGAAGGTTTTTTCCAGAGGTGAAGAGCTGCCTGAATTCTGAAGTGTAGTCTGGACTCCAAGGAGTAATCTTTGTAGTTGTTCCTGAAGACAATAACAATAAAATTGTACAGTCAAAATTTCTTTGTATTCCAGGGTACCACCACTCTTCTCATCCTCTCTCTAATCTCCTTATCTACTTTCAAACTGTAATATGCATAACAGTGGATCTTGGTAAAATGCAATTCTGGTTCTGGGGGTGGGGAGGGACAGCAATAGTCCGTGCTTCTCATATTTTTCTGGTGGTAATCTAAAGGTCATACTCCGAGTAGCAAGGTTCTACTTAATTAGCAAATCATTCACAAACACAGCAAGGTAATGAGCAGGTCCTAACAAATTTTATGAACTATTACTAGTCCTTTTTTAAACTGGGGAATTTTAAGGCAGATGCATATAAACATGGTGAACATGGTCAATCATACCAAAAACAAAAACAAAACCCCCGAAATCCTAATGAAGCAATAATTGCAACAAAGACAGCAGGATTACTTAATGACATCAAAATTACTTATTCCAATTCTCACATGCAAATATCAGTGGTTTGGCCAATAATTACATACTAATAGGTCAGAAGGGACCATATTTAAAACCAAGATTATTTAAATCCTGAATTAGATCGCTCATGTTGAACTTCTTTTACTAGAATTATTAAGGATCTGCAATAAAACACTTTCACATACTGCCTTAGCCCATAGGCAGGCTCTCACCTCTTTCTATGCAGTGGCATGTATTTCTGCAGCCCTTCATTTTACATGTCTATGGACTACTTACTGGTAACCTCAACGAGGGTCAGTAAAATGTATTATGCATTAACTAAAATCAACATCTTACTAGAGTTTACCAAAGGATGTAATTGAGTATTTTCCTAAATGTCTGGCCACTGATTTTGGCAAAGCTCCTTATACATATGAGAAACTGCAGACAACTGATAGTCTTGAAATTATTGGGAAGTATCTTTATGTTTGCATCATTGATACTGTCTTGAGTTAGTGGTGGCTTTTGATTGCTTTTTCATAGTGAATTACTAATCTTTTATTTTCATCATTATAAATTTGCCTAATTGGACATTGCATAAATAGCACTGAATAGTACAAATATTTGCAGCAGTATTTATAGTCCATAATTTTCCAGTAACTAGATTTGAAGATATGTATATATCACAGTTGAAATATTAATCATCTTCACGCCCACCATATTAATTTTAAAAGCAACATGATCTCATACCATCCATATAGATAGATTTTTTTTTTTTAAGTAACCTTTCTTGGCTCTATCATGCCCCTGAAGCTTGTGCCCCATTACTATGCTCTCTTTACAGCAAACACCCTAAAAGCGTAGCCTAAAGTAGCGGACTACATTCCTTTCCTCACCTCAATTGTCAAGGTCACCAATGATCTTCATGCTGCCAAATTCAGCAGCCACTTCTCTGATCTTACCTTGTTTGACCTCTTAGCAGCTGTCCTCATAACTGACCATGCTCCCTTGTGAAATACTGTTCGATTAGCTTTCCTGGATATCTTCCTAACTTGACTGTATTAGTAAGATTTTAATCTTCTTAATATTATTGTTTAATCTCTAAAAAGATGGCATATCCCAGGCACTGTGACAGACCTCACTCTCCAGCTTTATAACTTTCCCAGAATGAACTCATCAAGTACCATGGCTTCACGGCTCACCATCTCCATGCTCATGACTTTGAAATATCTACATCCAGCCCTGACCTTACCAATGAACTCCACGCTCGTATATTTGACTGCCAACTCGCCATCTACCTAATAACCATCTCAAAGAATCATGGTCCAAGCAGAAGAACATTTCTTTCTCTCCTCAAAACTGCTCCAAGTATCCCCCCGCTAAGTAAAAAGCATCATTATCAACCTGGTGGTCCAACCCCACAATCTAGAGGTTCCCTAGCTGTGGCTTCTGTCAGGAATGCTCCCTATACAGCTGGTGACTATCTTCTCAGGACTGGCACTAATTATGCAAATCTCAACTACAATATCACTTCCTCAAGAAACCTTCTAGAATCAACCCAATCTAAGGTAACACCCAGGCACCCTGCATCATATCGTAAATTTCAGCAAAACACATACCATTGATATTTTTCTTATTTAATGTCTCCCCACAGCTAAGTGAACAGAAACATTGCCTATTTATAGTAGTCCCTCTAGAGCCTTTACCAGCGTCTGGCACATACTAGGTGCTCAGCAAATATTTGCTCAATTTGAATAAATGAAAAAAATGATGAATTGCCAAGATAAGTATGACCTAGAGCTAATATGGCATTCTTTCTCCACTGCAGGAAATGTCCAAGGCAAACAGACCACAGGGGTTTTGCCTCACCTAAAAGAGCCATGATCACAACTCTAAGAGCCATTGTCGTGATAAAAATACTTTGAAACTGCTAAGGGAGACAGAAAGAAGAGAAAGTCAGGGGAAGATCAGAGAGCTTCATGAGATTATGGCTCTTCAAGGAAATGATGGAAATGGCTGAATACACCAAAGGCTGGCAAATTATGACCCAAGGGCCAAATCTAGAACACATCTATTTATTTACATAATATCTTCTATGGCTGTTTTTGATATAAATGGAGTAGGTGCAATGGAGATCTTATGCTGTAAAGCCAAAAATACTATCTGGACAAATCCCTGATATAGAACAGAGTAAGTTAGAAATCTCTCCAATCAATGCCCACAATCACATCTGTAAATAGAATAAGGCAGGAAGAGGATTGGAAACGGCACAATTACAGCAAAAGTCATGAGCATAAACCAAGCATAAGTTAGCAAAAGTAACATCATTACTAATCTGGCATTAATTAATTTTTAAGTGTATAATATTATGTTGTTATGATATTCCTGAGTCCATAGCAATCATGGAAAAGCTGCCTTCATCACTTACCTTGCAGTTTCTAGGACCTTTATAGCTTTGTCAATTTCCCCTTGGCTTTTATACAAAAATGCCAACTCAAACAGAGTGAATGGCACTAGGTAGTGATCATATCTCAGTAGCTTTTCACTGAAAACAGCAAAGAAAAAGCAATTAAGTCTTAACAGAACAAGAAACATATCATTTTTTTCAACATATATATAGTATTCCTCAGAAAACAGGTGCAACACTAAGCCTACGAAGAGAAGCTGCCATTATATAGTTATGGAACTTATTAAATTATGACAATAGTGTGATTTTAATATATTTTTATTCCTTAATGTAAATTCAGCACCACCGATAGATTACCGCCCCTTAGGTAGATGAGTGTGCACAGATCTTTAAAGATTAATCCTGGAAATGAGAAGATCATCTTTCTAAACGTGAATATGTTCAAGAAATAACTCCATGTGAAATAAGAAAGCTGTAAGGTTCAACTCCTTTTGTATTATAAAGTTTTATAATGCTTAAAAACATCAAATCAATAAAGGAGTCAACACTTCAGTTTTCAGCACCATTATTAAACTCTCTGGCTACAAAACATCTAGAAGCCCTAAAAAATATAGAAGTAACACCATTTCAAACGCACAGCTTAGGTCACATCAGAACATAAGAAAAAACTCTCAGGTGCCAAACACAGAGCTAGAACTAAAAAAGCAGAACTCTATGTGTGGGATGATGCAGAATGAGTCCTAGGATCTGCTTTCCTCTGAGTCATCCAAGGCTTTACGTGTTAATATTCATGCAGGAGTTGAGGCCTTGGGCCCACAGAAGACAGGAAGCTGAGACCTCTATTTAAAGCTGGGATCCCTGAAGGGAAGATGAAAAAACCCACTCACTGATATAGGAGGAAGACAAGGAGAGTTGTCTCCTTGACCAGCACTTTTGGTGGGAAGAAAAAAACCATTCCTTGGGAAATTAATAACCCACAGGCTTGCCTCACATGAATTTGCAATGTGAATTTACATTGCCCAAATGATCCAAGAACTGGTAAAGAATGAAATTAACATGGAAGTGGTCCTGGGCTTAAAAAGCTTTCAGGGAACCAGACAAAAATAAAATGTAAAATCACTTTAGCTCTAGAGACTCTTCCTCAATCTAGCCTCAAAGATAAAAAAAAAAACCCTACTGAAGGTGAGCTCACAATCCAAAATTATTAATGAAACATATGAACAAACAATTCACTCTGAAATTCAATAAATATAAAAACAGCACAATGGGTCACCCTTTTATTAATAATTATCCTTTTTAATGCTTACAAAAACACCAAATAAAATAGAACTCCATGGATACTTCTTTAACATGTTTACTAAATATAGTATATTACTTATATGGGAAATAGATACTCTTTCTTCTTATATGGGTACCAGTCCTCCTATATTCCCATTACTATTGTCAGGAAGAAAGGGATCAGGTGGCTTGGATGGAAAGGTACATAATATGGAGTATAGGATGCCAACCAGTAGTCTACAGCTGTGATCTTCGTGGCTTGCAATGCTTTCAAAACATTTGAGCCGATATTTAAAAATCAAACAACTTTACATAAAATCCAGATTCCAGGATTTTCATTAAATGGGCACACACTGTGTATAGCAATAATCATTTAGAGCTGAAAAGCAGCTGCACATACTATCTCCCTATCCTGAAGTGCCCACCAATCCCTACGCCTGCTACCACTCAGCGGGCCTCATTCAGTAAGGTTACTTGTCTGGCCTTATATGTATTTGCCATAGTGATATAGAGAAAAGAGCCAGGCATCAGAAACTTGATTCAACCCTATGGTTACTAAAGAACAGGACATGGTCACCAATGCTATCAGAAGGAAAAAGACAAACTCAGTTATATTCAGAAGAAATGCCCTTTGCCAACAGAGAAGTAGTTACAGTGCTTGTCACATGCCTGTCTTTCCTGCCCAATTATCATCACAGTAATGGCAATTCTGTTGACTCAACTCTGAACCCCTAGAATAGAGCACAGTCTCTGGCACACAGGGGATGCTCAAGGGTCTATGGAATAAATGAATGGACAAGCAAAATTATGCATGAGTTAAGAGTATTGGAAGTTCAGTATGCTGCTTCCAGAGTTTGGCTAGACACCTGTTAGCCAGGATGTAAATTTAGTCTAGCAAATCATCTTTAAACATCAAGTAGAAATGCATAAAGCCATGCTCTAACTTAGATCATAATTTCATTTACAAGGAACAAAGAAAACACTTACTGGATTCTCTTTCTGGTAACATCAAGTAAAAATTTAACAGTGGGAGAGAAACGCATTTTGCATCACTTTCCCACAGCAACTCCCTAGAAACCACCATGTGCATTCAGGTTGGTTTTATCATTTGTCCTTACCTTTCTACAACATGATTAAAACACAGCTCAGCTTGCAAAGGCCGCTGTAAGTTCTTGAGGCAGCATCCTTTAAGTAACTTTACTAAGCATTCATCATCCACAGAGAAGTCATGAAAGTCTTAAAAAACAGACACACAAGAAAATTACCTTTAAAAATCCTAATTAAAAGGAAGAACTAACAGCTCTTAGGTTTCCGAGGCATCATTTAAAAACAAGGAAAGATATTTTTAGCATTTGTTATGCCTAACTAAAATACAATGAAATTATTTTAAATTAAAAGAATGCTGAATTTACTATATTAGTACAAAACATTCTTCAGGTGGTCAACACTCTGAGTTTTATGACCTTTCACACAACAGGAAATCTGAACTCTGAATAAGTAGGAGCTTTATTAATTCTATAAAAGGTAAAGCCACGAGGAACAGGAAGGCTGCCTCCTCCTGTTGTTTTGGCTTCTGGGTTGGCTTCGATGCAGAAGAGGATAACGCTTCCATATGGAGGAGCAGATGGCCGTGTACCCATTAAAAATTCAGGAAGTAGAATACCCTCTCCAGATCACTATGTTTACAACTTAGCAATTCTCCCAGGTTACGTTCTTTTTGGGGGAAATCAATATCATAAAATTAGACAAAAGGGTTCTGAAGTACATGAAAGGCACCCAAACTCCCCACAAACTTCTAACTGCTTGAGGGTAATATGAAGGATTTTCTTTCACCACTTTTTTTTCCCCTTTTGAAAATGGCTCTTTGCCTTCTACAGCCCACAGCAAATACATCGTGAACAGAAGGAACCATATCGCGTGTGACATCTAGCTGACAAAGGTAGCCATTCTGCATTTACCACTTTTGCATTTTTTTTTCTTTTGCAAGTAACATGCAACTAAGAAGTCATTCCAAGACAGACCGATAATTTATACATTTCAGGCTGTGATAACAGCGCGAGAGTTTGGGGGGAGGGCAGGAAAGAGAACTAATGAGGCCCTCAGAGTCCCTTGTATCCAAATCCTCCTGCATTTAGTACGAACCTCAGAACTCAGATTAACGCATGCTGATGTTTTAGTTGGTGACCTGCTTGTCTATGGGAGTTAAAGATGCCACCTCGCCAACTAGAAAAGGGTCACTTTACTTCTAGGTGCTGGAAACAGTGGATATTTACCTCTAGCTCTCAAACTCTGATAGGTCACTCGCCAAGAAAATCACAGATATGAATACATTACTTTTTCTATTCATTTAGGACAATTTTCTATCAAAAAAAAATATTCTACCCATGCTTCTAATTATGGATGTTTGTTGAAATATACACTGAAGCAGTATCTCTTAGGACCTAGAACCAAAACCATAGGGTCCATATTGGATGCTAGTTTGGGGTATTATTTTTGTGCATTCTATTGCGTTTCCTGTAACATTTTATTGACAGTTTGCGTTATGACAACAGTCTGGTGCTCAGTGAATGATGATTTTGCTGAGGAACAGACACAACATCATGGAAAGTTAAAGGTACCAGTGAAATCACACTTAACTTTTCTGTAGCTCCTGACTTAGGGATATGGCAAATGGGTTCAAAAATACCACATCCCTCCAAAAACCTCAGAAAGCAAAACCATTATTTCCTCAGGCTACAGACCACTATCTGCCAGATAATTATTTTCCCTTAAAATATAAATGCTTTGTCATGGTTTTCAGCCTCATGAATGAGTTCGCACATTAATGAACCTTTCAACACAGAGTCTCTGTTTTACACTCAAAGAAAACCACATTGATAAAGTTGCCAAAGCACAATTTTATCACAAAAGATCTGCTGGACGTAATAATAAAATGGTAGGTAGCCTGAGGAAAAAGGAAGTTTGAAGCCCAACCTACAAAATATCTATACTGAACTTAGAAACTAGTGGAAATGTCCCCAAGAGAAAATTTTGAAAACAGATTTAGAAAGTGAAAAGCCATAATGTCAGTTAACACTTTTCCTTTTACATAACTCTGATTACACAGAACTGTGGAACTGCTGTACCAACTGCTGGCTGTATGTTGCATTTAGTTAGATCGCAAATGAAACACTATCGGGATTAATAGCAAATGCTGCCTCCAGGGATGCTACCAAGTGGTTGCCTGTCTTCAGAGTTCTACCCATTGTATCAGTGACCAGCCTTTAACAGCTATGGCCAGAGCACCGCCAGAGCAGAGGATCAGTTGTATCCTCTACCATCTTTTACTTTAGACATACTTCCCAAAGCTGGGAGAAGCAAAAACACATGCGCTTTCTAATGATGGGGGTGGAGTGGAAGATGATGTAACCTCAGGCTTACAACTTCACTCCATTTTCCAATTATGGACCTTTTGCCCCCACTCTGGAGAATTGGGAGCTTAATTACTAAAAGGTCCTAACTGTTCAAGATAGTAGGGGAAGGGGGAAAAATAATCTTCCTGCATAAAATAACAGTCCTGGAAGAGATCATCATAAATTTAATATGCAACATCTGGAAAAGGTGATTTTCAGAAAATAAACTAAACCTTTCATCCAGAGAGAGGACTGCAGGTAAGTATAGTGTGTCTATCTATCTATCTGAGTTTCCCCCAACTCTGCTTAAATATCTCTTAAGCCTATCATCTCAATTTGTTGTTAGAAGAAAAGTAATGTGTAGAGAAGGAGGACTTGCTTTTCTATACTTATTGTGCATTTTATTAATATAAGCATGGTCTGATGTATGTATTTCTCCACTAATTTTGCCCCCCCAACCAATGGAGAGACAAAATAAACTGGGGAAGAGGGTAAAGAACCTGGTCAAATAGAGAAAATCCTAATAGTCCTTCTCACAAATTTCAGAACCTCTTGATATACAAAGGCCCCACACCCTGCTGGTACCTATTAGTCTATGCTATCCAGCATGGATGTTCAAACTTCAGAATTGATTCTACTAAATCCTTACCTTTGTAGGAAAACAGAAGATGCAAGCTGGCCTGTTCTTCTGGGAGAAAAAGGTACCCTACAAATGTTTTCACTTAATAAAAAGAGGTTTTCCTTTGGCTTTTAGTTTTCACATATCCACTTACTTACTCATTATTAATATTTATTTAAAGATGAGCTTTCACCGTTACTCAGGCTGTTGTCTAGCTCCTGAGTTCAAGTGGTCCTACTCAGCCTCCAGAATAGCTGGGACTATTGCACCCAGCAATATCTACTTATTTTAAAACATACTCTTTTATTCATTTAGTTTGCACAGATGTGGGTTTTAATCACAGATAATTCCCTTAAGGGCAGGAACAATGCTTCCTCTATCTATAAGTCTATATCTGTATGGAAATACTAAGGGTGTTCAAATGAGCTAATTAAAGTAGCCAAATTATGTGAATAAAAATGAATATTAATAAATTTGCTCAAAAGCTCAAATAGATTTTACCAATATACATCTTGTGAAATCTCATTTTTTAAGAACTTTCATATATTTTAATTTCATTTGAATATCAAAATTGATATGTTGATTTCCACTCAAGTAAAAAAAATATTTTTCCTTTCTGAAATGATTTCACATTAAAAATAGTAAAGATCACCTCACATCCATTGGTATGTCTACTCTCAAAAAAAAAGTGTTGGTGAGGAGATAGAGAAATTAGAATCCTTATTTTATTGTCGGTGGGAATGTAAAACAGTATAGCTGCTATGGAAAACAATATAGTAGTTCCTCAAAAAATTACATTAAAAATAGAAATACCAATTGATCCAGCAATTCTACTTCTGGTTATATACTAGAAAGAACTGAAAGCAGGGTCTGGAAGAGATACCTGTACTTCCATGTTCCTAGCAGCATTATTCACAATAGCCAAAGAAAGGGTAAAAACAACCCAAATGTTCATTGACAAATGAATAAACAAAATGTGGTATATACATATAATAGAATATTACACAGCCTTCAAAAGGAAGGAAATTCTAACCCATACTACAATATGGTTGAACTTTGAAGAATTTATACTAAGTGAAATAAGCCAGCCAGAAAAAGACAAATATTTTATGATTCCACTTATATCGGGTATCTAGAGTAATCAAACTCACAGTAACAGAAAGTAGAATGGGAGCTGCCAGGGGTGGGCCAGGAAGCTGAGGCATTGTTGTTTAATGGGCATGAAAAAGTTCTGAAGATTGTTTGCACAATGACGTGAATATACTTGATACTATGGAACTGCACATTTACAAATGATGAAGATGGTAAATTTTATATTATGTGTATTTTACCATAAATATAAAAAAATTTTAATAAAAGAATTGTAAAAAAAAAAGGAAATTTATCACAACTCCATGCTAACAGAAAGTAACATACAGAAAATATATTAGTACTGGAAATCTAGAAGAACACAGAAAGTCTGAAATGCCCATAAAGGAAGTGTATAGCCTGCACTTACACATGTGCTCCTATGGTTATTGTTACACGTACAAATTTTTAAGTGTATAACTTTACTGTGAATGGGGGAGCAAGAAGAAAGAAAAAGGGAACCTTGGTTCTTTTATAAAAGTGCCACCTTTATTATGGAAAGGTGATATTACTCACCCCTCATCAACTGATGAGCTTTGCATGTGACCATAGTGGAGTAGAATACTCCACTCACCTGGTCTCCCTGTGACCACCGGCCTGTATTTGCAAGATGGCTCATGGAAGTGAGGACAGAAGAGTGTGGCCTCAGAGCAGCACTGTTTCCTTTGTTCTATTTGATTCTGTAGCTGTCCAGCCTGAAACCTTGACCTTGCTAGTAGATAAGCCCACTGACTCAGCTTTCATTCCTTTATATTTCTTCTCCTATTGACGGACAGAAATCTAAAGCTAGAATTATTTTAAATAAGGAAAACAGCCTAAATGCCAACAATACTGAAAGGACTGATTAAATTACGATACATTAACTTCGTGGAGTGCTATGAAGCTTTTGAAATTTATAAAGGCTATTTACCAAAAACTTTAAAAACTTATGACATATTAAATTTAAAAAAAAAAACCTACGCTAGTATATATCTAGGTACACTGTGCCTAGATATATGTTTTTATATTTTATATAAAAATAAGGCTAGAATGAATATACAGAAATTCTAATTGTGCTATAGTAGCAAAAAATGAGTGACTTTTTTCTACCTATACCTAAAAATTAGAATTATGTGTTTAACTTTAAAAGAATAATTGTCAAGAGAAATCTCATTAAACATTTCAGCTTGATATCACAGCTACAAGTACAAGAAAAAACCCAAATGAAATCCTCATCCCTAGAGCCATATGCAATCATTTCATCCCCGCTGTGGGGAGTATACTGGGGATGGAGCCAGGGCTCCTGGAATGCCCATCTTTCTCCAATTAAGAAAAATGAGTTAACTGTTATAATTTTCCCCCACTAATCCTGAATTTCTATGCCCTTTACCATGTTTATCACCCCAGAAGTTTTCATTTTACTTCTGTGGTTGGAATATTCAACAAGAAAAGACCATTACAACGGGGGAGGGAGGTATGGGCAATATATGTAACCTTAACACTTGTACCCCCATAATACGCTAAAATAAAAGAATTAAAAAAAAAAAAACGACCATTACATCTTAGGATATACCTAAGTGACTTGGTACTGATGAAGAATACAACAAAGGCTATCATTTACGGCATTGTTGATCAAAAGATAAAGCCTCTATTAAAAACACAGAATCAAAAAATGCCAGAGCTCCTGCGCTCCTTGATGAACATAAAAATAGAGTCAGAGCAAGAAAACAACTTTGGATATCATCTGGCCCAACACTGCTCTTTTTCAAAAGAAACCAGATGTGTTCCCCAGAGTCTGACCACTGCAGAGCTGGGACTATAAACCCAGATTGCCTAATTCTCCACGTCAGCTGCTTCCAGATAATGGAGCTTCCAGTAAACTGGAGGGGGGCCTCCAACACAACCAAAGGTAATGAGTAAAATCATTAAATTGTGGTAAGATTCCAACTTGAAAACTATTCCTGGTGTCTGCAGAAACACACTAGCTGTTAGCAATGGGGCGGCATGGAAAGGCAAACTAAAACCAGAAGGAAGTGCACATTGTCCTTGTTCTGCTCTAGAACTCTAATGCCTGTCTTCCTCGCTTCATCTTTTTTTCTAACAGTTTTAAGACATAGTTCACATGCCATATGATTTATCCATTGAAAGCAGGCAATTCAGTAGTTTTTGTATAGAGTTGCACAACCATCACCATTATCAATTTTCGAATATTTTCATCACCCCCTCATTTCCATCACCCCCCATCACTAATCTACTGTCTTTATAGATCTGCCTATTCTGTATGTTTCATATAAATGGAATCATACAATATATGGTCTTTTGTGCCTGGCTTCTTTCACTTAGCCCAGTGTTTCCAAGGTTCATCCATGTTGCAGTATGCATCTTGTCTCCCTTCATCTTGACTGCAGTCACCCAGACACTTGCAGCTCAAGCTCTTTGTCCTCACGATGCGCACAAATTAACACAGGCAGACGTGCACAGGGAAACACAGGAGAACAGTAAGGGAACACAAAGACTTATAGGTGCTTATTTCTCATACTTACTTTCATTTTGTAAAGCTGCCTCAGCCTTTTCAACAGTTACCAGCAGATTTTCACAAAGGTCTTTTCTTTTATTCACTATTGAAAAACCATTCCAGACATACATCATTTCCTGATGAGGAAAAATGAAAACCATTTTCAATTATGTGAGGTTATTCAATGTCCTTAATGATCACAAAACTATGTATGTATGTTTTGTCTTGGTTGCTAGAGATTTCAAGACAGTATTTAGAGATCACTTTCCTTAGCTTTTGCCTTTTATACTGTGAAGAAATTTTATATATATATATATATATATATATATATAATGCATTTACTGAAAAACTTGATTTATTCATTGAATAAAAAGTACTCATTAAGTACCTACTGTTATGTGATTCTTCTGGAAGATAATAGAATACAGATACAGAAATAAATACTTTAAACTGCTACTATGAACAATTCTGTTTAATGTAAACTTTTGTTAAAGTAAAGGAAAATATTTTAAAATGTCTGCCAGTTGTTTACATAAAATGTTTCCAAGAATTTCACTGGAAATGAACACTGGAGTATTTTACTGGGCTTAGGTTCTTTTATACCATTAAAAACATGTGACAGTCCAGTAATGCAATCCAATATGCAGAAAAACGCATTCATTTAAAGGCCATATGGCTGAATGACAGCTCTTGAAAATGTAAACTAATGATTTCTCATTGCAGATTATATTTAATGGGCTAACAGATGAGAATTTTTTTTTGGACCAAAAGCAAATGTGCTTTTACTTGAAAATATTTTTCTAATGTTCCTGATAGTGCAGTTCATATTTTTAAAGAGTACAAAATAAGGGTAATTAGTATCTTCTTGGAAATAAATGAATTTTAAAATATGATAAAAAAAATATTGCTTGAAAAGCCTCTTACCAGGGAAGTAGTAGAAATGAAGACAACATTCAGGTACAGTGGCAGCAGTTATCTGTACTTTTTATGGCACTGAAAACTATGATCATCACACTCTACCTTCCATTTGACATATAACAATTTCTTATTGCTAAAAGAGCTACATTCAATAACTAATGGAATATTTTTTAATTGATGCTGATGATCCTTAAAAATTCTTTTTATTCATGGATATTTTTACCAGAAGGAGGCAAGCTCATGTCCTAGATTTTATGAAAAAGAGGCTTTTGGTAAAATTCTTAGGTACCCCACCGCCCCCCCAAAAAAATCCTAGGTACTGCTAATTCAAGCCAATTTCCTGCCCAATCTGTATCTATAGACCTGGAAAAAGAAGTGTAATGAGTTAATCTTCCTTAAGATTCTTAATAGTCAAAGAAGGATACACTTATGTATACACTGGTATCTAAGTACTAGGGCAGAGGAAGAACTATGATGGTCTAGAAAATTTTCAGGTAAGTTCTGTGGGACAGAAAGAAAAGCTTTCCCAGTGCAAATCACTTGATAAAAATGAATCAGCTGCATGGAGCTAAAGCTGTGGTTGATACAGCAGCAGCAGGCTCTCATATGACCTGGAAGAGGGGTATGTTGGTTATTTTTGTGATTTACAGGGTATTCTTGTTTCTGTGCTCAGACATAATTACAGAATGGTTGTATTTTTGTCTCGCTCCATTACAGTCACAGAATAGCCTGGGCTGATGTCAATGTTCTCAGAAGTTGTCTTCGTTCAGAAGGAAACACCTGGGCCTAGGTGCTAGTTGCAGGCTAGCTCTTAATTGACACCTATCAGAGGCTGCATTCTTCTTTTACATAGAATGTTTAAAGAGCTCTGATAAGTCAATAATAAAATAAACAACCCAATGAAAACTTAGGAAGAACATGAACAATTTATAAAAGAAGAAATAAAAATGAATAAACACATGAAAAGATGTTCCATCACACCAACAGAGAAAGGCAAACTTAAATGGTAAAACATTGTTGGTATTCACTTAAATTGGGACAGCTTTTTGGGAGGGAAATTTGGCAATATTTACCAAAATATTCAATGCATAAAACTCTTCAACAAGGAATTCCAGTTCTAGAAATCCTTCCCAGAGAATTACATGCACACGTACAAAAAGAGGATATTTATTGTAGTGTTCATAATAATAAAAACTGGAAAAATCTAAATAACTGTCAAAGGGGAATAATTAAACTCTGGAATTAAAAAAAAAAAAAAAAGATTCAGGAAAGCCCAAAGGAGGACTACAAGCATCAAGTAGCTGTCCAGTGCCGACTACCTATGTAAAAACTATGCAAAAACTAAAGCCCTGGAAGAGTTGTAGTAATTTGATATAGTGAGTATTGTTTTGAAGAAGCTTCATTAAGAAAATTTAAGTTGAAATTCCACTTTTCACAGAAACCTCGCCTAAAATGGCATATTAAGAATGTGAGTTGGACACCAGTCACCTGTGGCTCTTGAGCACTGGAAATATGAAATGTCCAAACTGAGATGTCCTCCAAAGGTATAAGACACACCAGATTTCAAAGACTTAGTATAAAAGAAAGAAATATCTCCAAAGTTTTTATCAATTACTTGTAGAAATGACAAAATTTTGCATATACTAAGTAAAACAAGATATATTCTTAAAATTAATTTCATGTTTCCTTTTACTTTTTTAATGTGGCTATTAGAAGGTTAGAAAAGGTAAAATTATATATATGGTTTGCACTGTAATTCAACCCGACTTCAATGAAGTCAACTTTACCACTCTTGGTCTGTAAAATGGGGCCAAGAAAACTATACTCAGAGTTATTGCAAAAATTAAATGATATGTTTTTAATACCTTTATCATAATGCTTGGAACATACCAACTAGTCAGAAAACATTAGCTACAATTTTTATTTATTCATTATTTATAAATGTTCCCCGTACAACAACACTCATACTGGGTTTTTTGTTTTTTTTTTTTTGAGACAGAGTCTCACTTTGTTGCCCAGGCTAGAGTGAGTGCCATGGCATCAGCCTAGCTCACAGCAACTTCACACTCCTGGGCTCAAGCGATCCTCTTGTCTCAGCCTCCCAAGTAGCTGAGACTACAGGCATGTGCCACCATGCCTGGCTAATTTTTTGTATATATGTTTTTAGTTGTCCAATTAATTTCTTTCTATTTTTAGTAGAGACCAGCTCAGGCTGGTTTTGAACTCCTGACCTTGAGCAATCCGCCCGCCTCGGCCTCCCAGAGTGCTAGGATTACAGGCGTGAGCCACCCTGCCCTCATATTGGTTTTTTTTTGTTTGTTTGTTTTTTGTTTTTTGTTTTTTGTTTTTTTTTAATTATTTTTTTTATTTTGGCATATTATGGGGGTACAGATTTTAAGGTTTCAATAAATGCCCATTTCCCCCCCCTCCCCCCAAAAGTCTGAGTCTCCATCATGACCATCCCCCAGATGGTGCACATCTCACTCTCATATTGGTTTTTAATTAAGCTGAACTTCACAACCAAAGTTAGACATGCTCCCCGCAGCTGTGAATAGGTAACTTATCTCTAAGTGAACTTATCTCTAATGAACAGTAAATAAGATAAAAGTGGATACCAGGGCAGGCAGGACAAGCTTCACAGGTACAGGCAAGGAGGCGGAGTAGCGTCGAGCCTTCCTCACAGCAAACTTCTCGGTGGGGAGAGATTTACCAGCAATCCTCTGCTTCAAGCCGTCCACCTGTCTGCGAAGAGCCCCCGCCCCAGTGAGAGGTCATCAGAGCACAGACATTACTTACACCTGTGGCTGTCACGCCACAGCATCAGCAGCACCTGGGAACCTGTTGGAATTGCAAGTTTTCAGGCCCTACCCGGACCTACTACTGAATCAGCAGTTCCAGGGGCAGACCCAGCAATCGGGGTTCCACACGCCCTCCAGGTGATTCTGATGTACTCAAGTCTGAGAACCACTGGCTGACACATATTTCTTTCTAGTCAACTTAGCTAATGTCTTAATTTTAGCAAATATAATCCAGGAAATCTAGTTAGGAAATTGGTAATTTCTATAAATAAACAGGCACAAGTCCAGAGTATTTACTTATATTGTGGATACCCAGAAAGAGGGAAGAAGATACAGTAAATATTAACTGTTCCTATTTGTAAGGATGACAGAGATCTATAAAATAATACGGCTCAAAAGATAGCCATAGATTAATGTACAATTGGAGAAAATGTTTCCCATGCATAGGTGATTTTGGAAATAATCAGCTTAGGATACGTGCCAAGTTTACAAACTTCTCAAAATTCTAAGGAATTCCAATTATAAAATTCATAAGCATGTAAAATTGAGAGTGGATGGGAAGACTACATGTTCCTGGGAGCACTTTCATATATGCAACGTTATGAGTGCATCAAACAAGTTGCTGAGAAAGGAATGAAAGAAATATCCAATTACAACACTGAAAGAATAAGATGAAATAAGAGAAAAAAAATCTGCTATGAAGTGAGCTTGTATTAGGCTATTTCTGGGCACAATATGGGGGTATGGACTTTATACCGGAATGCCCCATCATTTGATGTTCATCAACATCAGTGCAAGAGGCAGTGGAAGTGTGAGGTGGGGCCAGGGGAGGGGGAAGCAAGCCTTAGACATGAACCCTTGTGGTTTAAAGATCATATCGTCTAGATGAAGAGAACATCTAGGACATCGTTAGGACTCTCCTCTCATTATCCCAACAATCATGAAAGTGCAGACCTCAAGCTTTCTCCTGAAAATAAGAATGATTACATCTTTCCCATAAATTTTTTGATATGGAGAATACTTAATGTGAAGTGGAGGACACAGAGGGAGATTTAAAAGTCCTTAACAATTCCATTAACTTATTTATGCGAAATAAGGAAATACATTTTACAGTAAGAGGTGACATTTATCATACCATGGCTTCTATTAATGTTGATGCTACAGTTAGTATGCATGGTCCTAGTTTTAAGAAAAGCCTTTAAAAGCAGTTGAAAAAATGTCAAATTTGTTCTGATAAGTCAGAGGGTTCAGCTAAACAATTTCTGAAATGTGGCCTACAGAATACAGTATTCCATTTAAAAGGTGTGGTCATCAATTATGTTTGAAGAACGCAGTGGGGCCTCTCAGTTCCTTGACTTCCTCATCTCCATGGGTGTCTCCTCCATTCTACCTCAGGGACTCACACGCCACCCCTACACTCACACCTTAGACCACAACCTGTAACTTCTCTACCGAAAAGCACAAATTCAAGCCCACCACCCTTGGAACACCATTCTCTTCGCTCTAACTCCCGTTCTGTTAAGACTGTCAGTCCCCTTGTCCTTCAACTGTCTCCTAGTCCAGCAGCCTCCTTCTTTCTCTCTGTCCCTTCATATTCTTGCCTAGGCTGCACTTGTCTTTACTGTTGTACTCTTGTCTGGCCCATTTCCTAAACTCCCTTGTCTATGGTCTAGTCCTGATGCTTATCTGTCACAAACCCATCCCTGGGATGGAGCTCAGGGCCCATGTCCCCTGCAGCTGTACCGACAGCAGGTTGGCATCACTATCAAGTCTTCGTCAATCTCAAACAGGCCCCTGCACTGCCTGACATTCCCCCTACTGTGCTTCTCTCGCCACCTCACTGTCCCACTCTCTGCAACACAATGACTTCATTCCCCACTCTCTTCAGTCCTCCAGCCCTCTCCCTTCTCCCTCACTCTCAGCAGATGACCCTTCCTCCTACTTCATAAAGAAAACAGACACTATGAGATGGGAACTCCTCACCTCATGCTACCACCCAGAAGCCTGCCTAGCTCTGCACCTGTTCTTCACTCTTTCCTTTCCGATACCATGGAAGACCAGGACTGGACCCTTCTCCTAATAAAGCCAACTCTGCCACTAATGATTTGGACTGTATCTCCTCTTGCCTTTTCAGGAACCTTACAGAATCAGTTATCCCATTTCTTGCTTATTTGTGCAACTTATCCTCATTGGATCCTTCCCAGTGGTGTTTGGGAATGCTCAAATCTTTTCCATTAAAATGTTCTTTGACCTTACATCTCCTTCCAACCATCTCTCTCTCTCTCTCTCTCTCCCCCCCTTCATAATCAAAGCAATTCAGGGATGTAGCTATGTTCACTCTCTCCATTTCTTTATTTTTTCATTAAGTCTTCCACCAACCTCAATCTGGTTTCCATCTCCATTCTTTTATCTTACAAGCTCCTGCTGGGGTTACTAATGACCACTGTAACACTAAATACACACTATGTTTCATTTTAAAATGGAATATGTGTTGAAAGTACTATGGACGGAATGTCTGTGCCCTCCCAAAATTCATACGTTGAAATCCTAGCCTCCTGTGTGATGGGATTAGGAGGTAGGGCCTTTGGGAGGTTCCATGAGAGTTAATCAGTGGAGACCTCTTACTGGGATTAGTGCCCTTTTAAAGACACAGGAGAACTTGCTTTTTCTCTCCCTGCTCGCTACCATGTGAGGATACAACAAGAAGCCAGCCATCTTCAAGCCAAAAAGTGGGCTCTCAGTAGATATCAGATCTACAGGTTCCTTTATCTGGACTTCCTGGACTTCAGAACCATAAAAAATAAATTTGTATTGTTTAAGCCAGACAGTCTACAGTATTTTGTTATAGCAGCCTGAACTAGTATAGTCATTTTTGACATTTCTTTTCCTTTGACCTACATACATACATATACACACACACCATGTCCTGTCCATTATCACCTTTTAGTTCTTTAAATGTGCAGTGCTCCTTCCTGCAACAGGTCCTCTCTCATGCTGTCCCCTTGCCCTGAAACTGCATCGCCACCAGTCCCACTGCCACAGCAGCTCCCCTCCACCTTCAGCCTTCACCTGGGCCGGCATTCCCTACATGCTCTTACACACACCTTCTAAGGGGAAAGTAGCCAAGTGTTGTAATTTTGCACTTCTTTGTGTGACTATTTCATTGATCTCTGATTGCACTACAAGATTATAAACTCCACAAAGACAGGGGTCACACACCTGCTTATTCAGCATGTAACACAGTATCCTCCACAGAGTAGGTGCTCAACAAAAAGGTGATGGATGGATGGATAGATGAAATAGTTAAACAGATTACTTCATAGCAGAGTTTTTCCAAATCTTTAACAATACTAATAAGCACTATGCATATGTTATACTGGGTTTAAGTTTCCACGGAATACCTTTGGTTCACAGCAATAGTTCACATCTTTTGTAACAACACCAATATAGAAAACTGTCTTCAAAATGCAGTAGCAAAGTCCCAACAATAAAACCCTACTCCCAAAATATAACAATGTCTTCTCTAGGTTCCTAATCACACCAGTATATCTGCAAAATCCTACCAAAAGAATGACATTTTGACTCTTGGCTAACTATATTCTTTTAAGGGTTCCCATATCACATGAGTAGAAAAGTTAAAGAAATATGAAAGTGAAGCATGGGAGAGCATTCAGGAAAAAAAGATGGAAGATATAATTGTGTGCTCCTATATACAGCCAGGGTGTTTATTATAGAAATAGTATCTTGCTTACCTGAATAAAGTTACCACATTCTCATTAGTTGCTAATACATCCTCCTCTGGAAGCATACTCAAAATTGCAGCTTTCAAGAACACATATGTTGCCTTAAGAAAATGAAGAAAAGGAGCTTGTTATAGAACATCCCTAGGTACCCTGCAAATCAGGAATGACCTATAAATCTTCCAGATATAATGTTAAGAAGCATCAAAGAAATCAAAGGAAATAAAGTTTTACACTGCCTGTTCAAAATGAGAACAATACTTTTCAATTAATTTAGACCATTTTCCTATTATCCAACTATAGAAAGTAGATAGAATGAACAAGAGATCATTAACTCATTCTTCCTAACTTTTCACAAGTGGAATAGAATTAATTTTTATTATCATGAAAAGCTAGGTCATTAGGGTATTGAGAAGTCTACAAAAAATTATCAAGACTATTGAAATTTAATAACTCTAAATATAAATGCAATTCATCTTTAGAGGTAAAATTTTTTCTTAAAAAGAACCCTTTGGACAGCTTTCAAAGCATATAATGCTGAGGACAAAGCCTGTAAATAGTAGGTACTTAATGCACATTTCCTCCTTTTGTGGATCTCTAAATTGCAAAACAGTGTTGATGTAATACTATTGAACAAACAGTCCTAAATGAAAATCATTCTGGCCCCTTATTAGCAAACAAATGACATTAATGAAAGCACTGCATTTTACCTTGGACCATTTACTCTCTTTGCAAAGCAGATCTGAATAGTAATACGCCTGCATCCAGTTTTGTTGGTATACATTAATCCACATTAGTTCCCAGTAACAGAGATGGTGAAACTGTTTCCATTCTTCTTGAACTGAAATGCATTTTCGAAATATCTCTTGTGCCTATAAGTCAATTGCATAAAGCTGATCATCCAGATATTAGACAAGGAGATAATAACCTAATGGAAAAATACATAAAACACTTTGTACAAAAAGAACAAAATTACCACTTATTAAACCACTTCAATATGAAGATATGTTCCTTTCCTTACATACAATGATACAGTTAAGTTCTGCCTCTTTATTTAACTTTGTGAGGGGGCCTTGGCACTTGATAATGTGGGAGTGGGGAAGTTCCATTCCAACCAAGATGTAAAATATAAACATCCTTTAAGAAAAGACTAATGATGATAAAGTTAGGACACCCATAGGGTAACACACATCTTAAACAAAGATATAGGCAATGGACAGACTGGGAGAAGATAACAATACCTATATAACTGGCAAAAGATTAACTCCTTAGCATACAACAATTCTATAAAAGCCTTTAAGAAAAAGACAATCAATGGGAAAACTGGCAAAGATATAAATAGGAAAATCATAAAAATATACATATGAAGAAACTTATAAATGGGCAATTATAAATTTAAGAATTAGATTCTCATTTTCAGCCAACACATTGGCAAAAATTAAAAGATGAATAATGTCCAGAGTTGGCAATGAACATTGTAAACAAGCATTATCATAACTTTATGGGAGTTTAGGTTGGAACAACCTTAAGTAAGGAGGTCAAGTTGGCTGGATTTATCAAAATACAAACATCTTTTGGCCCAGAAATTCTAATACTCAGAATCTGTCTTCAATAAATATACCTGTGCACAGAAATACACATACAATTGTTTACAATGACATTGTTTTTTTTTTTTTTTTTTTTTTTTGAGACAGATTCTCGCTTTGTTGCCCAGGCTAGAGTGAGTGCCATGGCGTCAGCCTAGCTCACAGCAACCTCAAACTCCTGGCTCAAGCAATCCTCCTGCCTCAGCCTCCCAAGTAGCTGGGACTACAGGCATTTGCCACCATGCCCGGCTAATTTTTTGTATATATGTTTATATTAGTTGCCCAATTAATTTCTTTCTATTTATAGTAGAAGCGGGGGTCTCACTCTTGCTCAGGCTGGTTTCGAACTCCTGACCTCGAGCAATCCGCCCGCCTCGGCCTCCCAGAGTGCTAGGATTACAGGCGTGAGCCACCGAGCCCGGCCGACAATGACATTGTTTATAGTGGCCAAATGTCTATCAACAGTGGACCACTCTGGTGAGTACAGTATGTCCATCCCATGAAATGAAACCCAGCCACCAAAAGAATGAGGGAGATTTAGATATACTGACCTGGAAAAATATCCGAGATGTATTGTAAATAGAAAAAAACAAATTACAGAAAAATACACATTTGAGCCCATCTGTGTGGAAAAAAACTGTTTGTGAATGTATTTATATGAATGGCTCCTCACTTTTCTACTTCTGACCCCAATGTTTCCTTCTTTGAGGGAACTGATGATTAATTTCCTTTGACAAGGAGCCGCATGAACCAGAGCAGAGCTGCATCTTACACAGGGTCTAGATTCCAAAGTCAATGGGCAATGCAGAAACTGATAGTACTCAAAGTTTTTTGAAAATCCCTTAGATTGCCCACCTGATTGTTTTGTATATTTAACCTTGAAATGCCTCATGTACTTATGTGTCAATGTAGACTATATTCAGTAATCTACACTATATAATGATATACAATAGAATGTATATACAAATTACAATTTTGACTTTTTAATTACATTATTTTATTTCCCTTTACTTTTGTCTAGATCATATAGCTAAATTTACTATGGTTGAATGAGCATGTGGCACAACTCCACCATACAGACAACTCCTCGAAATCACTACTGCTGAATAAATTACCTCTTCAGTATTCCCTTTTAGCAGCTCTATTCGGGCATGATAAAACAGCATAAGTGAGCCCTGTGGAAAAAGGAAGAAAACACACTGTTCAACGATCAATGCTGGCTGATTAATTCTGGTTGAAACATGCAGTTGAGATACTAAGCATACATTTGGGAACTGCTGGAGGAAGGGTGCAAGGAGGCTCTCTGCTTCCACAACATTCACCTCTCCTGTACCTAGAAATTTAACAGGAAAAGCTTCAGTTGTCATGAAACATGGCAGATATTTACAACTAACTCTCCAAATTTCATTAGCATATATAGCAAAGGCCTATTCATAGAAAAGATGAAAACTATTATTTTGTCATTTTTATACCTGGGAAATAAAATAAAGACAGGTCTCATCTAAAACTTTAGTTTAAGAAAGTTCTAAGAAAGACTAATTCTTAAGAACGGAGGTGGATGTCTTAGATTTGAATTAGAATTTCTGGTTTAATGGCAATATTAACTTATTGTAGCCAAAAATTTTATCTTCTTCAAAAAAGAAATCTAATATGAGTATGATTAAATAGATCACCTTAATGCACAAATTTTAGCTGAGAACACAAGAAAAATATTCAATGAAAGAAACTACCCCACTCCTTTTGCTGAATGTCACTATGACATATGTCACTATTTTCCATCTTTGTTCAAAAAAAAAAAAAAAGGGAAACAGATATGGACTAATAGCTCTGATTTTTCTAAAGTTTAACTTATTTAAATCAAAGATAATCAACTTTCAGGCCGGGCGCGATGGCTCATTCCTGTAATCCTAGCACTATGGGAGTCCGAGGCGGGAGGATTGCTCAAGCTCAGGAGTTCCAAACCAGCCTGAGCAAGAGCAAGACCCCGTCTCTACTGAAAATAGAAAGAAATTAATTGGCCAACTAGAAATATGTAGAAAAAATTAGCTGGGCATGGTCGCACATGCCTGTAGTCGCACATGCCTGTACTCAGGAGGCTGAGGCAGGAGGATTGCTTGAGCCCAGGAGTTTGAGATTTCTATGAGCTAGGCTGACACCATGGTACTCTAACCCAGGCAACAAAGTGAGACTCTGTCTCAAAAAAAACAAAACAAAGATAATCAACTTTCAATGAAGCATAATGTCATCAGACCTTACCAAGTATCAGAGAGATGTAAGTATGAAAAGCCAGGATGGTTAAGCAGCACAGTGGAGACCTCATGCTTTGTCCTGAGGCGCCTTCCCGTAACTGCAGGAGGCCCAAGTCCTGTGGGAATTAAATGCATTTTAGAAGGAAAAAAACATGATTAGAAAATTATATCCAGAAACTTTAAAATGCTAGTTCATACATCCCCACCGTCCATGAAGGTGGAGTTTAGTTTTCAAGAGCTTAGAATAGTGGTAATGCCTAATTAGAAACAAATTTTACATTTTAAATGTGCACAAATCCTTTTATACATGTGATTCTAGGGAGAGAAAAAGGCAGTGCTTGTTACATAGAAATGCTGTATTTCTTACAGTAATATCAATTCATTAAAACATACTGAAGATCTAAGTATAAGGCACCAGGGTGGATATGAACAAATATGGTCCTATGTCTTCGAAGGTCTTTCCATCAAATAGAGAAGACAGTGCATGAACACATGATCTTATTAGAATGTAGTGAGTGCTGTAAGAAAGATAAATAAATGATTCTGAAAGTCAGGAATACTTTGAGCCTCACTGGAGGAGTATGAGGGAGAGCTCTGTGGAATAGATGACATTTATCTCAGACCTAGTAGATGGAAAGGCTCTCAAGAGAATATTATTTGCGAGGAGGCTGCTTGGGGGAAACATCCAAAACAGAGAGCAGCAGATGCACAGAAGCAGGGAAGCACAGTGCTGTGTCAGGAACAACCAATTGCGCAGTTTAACAGGAGTACTGGGAAAAGTGAAGAGTATGGACATTAAGGCTGCAAGCCCTGACTAGAATCAGACCATGGGGTCCTTGAAGCCATGTTATAGTTTGGACTTTATTTAGGAGGCAATTTGGAGCCACTGAAGGAATAAGTAGAAGACGAATGGTTAAGGAGAGGGATGATTGTGAAAAACAGAGTCAGAACAGACAGAGCACATCATAATGGGATCACCATAAATACACAAGAGCTAATGAAGAACACGGACAGTGAAATTGACTGAAAAAACTTACAGCTTGTTATACTTGTTCTCATGTATTTCTCAAAACCTGCTCTCCTGACTGACAGAGACAGCTTTTGCGATGAGGCAACTCTCGTAACGCCATATTGAGTGTTACGATTAATAAATATTACATATTCATTATAAAACCACAACCACACAGAAATGTCATGAATAACATGGAAAACAAATTTCCTCAGCTAGTTTTATAGCAAAACTTTTAAAAACATAGGGAAATTCAAAATACTGTAACTATGTTGGATCTATGCTATTTGATCTATTAAAATCACAAAATATTAGACATGGAAATATAGCCTAATTTCTTCATTTTAAACAAGGTAACTCCAGGATTGCTGAAATGTTAACAAGGTATATTTTAACATAAGAGTAATTAATATCCAATAAATTATTTTTAAAGATATAATTTTTAATCCCAGAATTTAAGTAACAAAGGTAAAAAAAATTTAACTTTCAACAGAAAAATCATATTTAACTCCAAAAAATATGATCAAGGACAAATGGCTCTTTGTAGTCTTGCAAACAAATTGCCTATATTTATCATGCTAGTTATGTGGACAGGTTGTATTGCCTTCATACTCAATAAATAATATTTTATCTTCCCTGTTAAAATTAAGATAAAATTAAAGTTGTACCCTGTTTCCAGAAAATCCAATAAATTCTAGTAGTCTGATTATCCTTGCTGGTAAAAGGGACAGCATCTATAAGAAAAAAAAAATACAAGTGTACTTACATGTTAGTACATGTCTAACTACAGACAAATGTTAAATTCTAAACAACTTACAGTTTTAATGCTTCAATAATAAGAAAAATTAGAAACAAGTTTAAATCACTAGCTACATCTCAATCATCACATACTGTAGTCATTACTTATGAGTTAATTTCACTTAGCTAAAAAAATGAAATAACAAAAAAAAATTTTTTTAAGCCTGGCCTTTCTAAGATTTCCTAAACAATACTGGCACCTTGTATGTGGAGTGACAAGGTGGTGAGAAGGCAACACCCAGTGCTCACCTACAGACAGGGCTCCTTGCAGCTTCTTGTCCCAGAAAGCAAAAGTCTATTATATTCTGTGTGATATGCAGGCACCACACAGAAGTGGGCCGCTGCGGCACTACAGCCCCTTTCTGGGCCATCGTTGGCCCAGGAAGACAATGGCGATGGGAAATTCTCCCAGTGGGCAGAACCTTGGGCAGTGTGCCTGGTTATGAGCTTCGCTTGGAGGGAGAAATGACCATATGCACATATGTATGATTACATACTGATTCATGGGCTGTGGCCAATGGTTTGGCTAGATGGTCAGGAGCTTGGAAGGAACATGATTGGAAAATTAGTGACAAGGAGGGTTAGGGAAGAAGCATGTGGACAGATCTCTCAGGGCAGAAAATGTGAAGACATTTGTGTCCCTTGTGAATGCTCACCAAAGGGTGACCTCAGCAGAGGAGGATTTTAATAATCAAGTGATGACACGATGACCTGCTCTGTGGAGGCCAGACTGTTTCCCAGCCTCCCAGCCGCCTGCTTATTGTCTGGTAGGCTCATGAACAAATTGGCACATACACTCATGCATGTGACTCTCTTTACCACTTCATTTTCTCACCAGTTCCAGTCAAACTTTAATAAAATTTCAAAATCTCTACATAATACATTGGAATTTGACAGATTTCTACTCAGACTCTTCATCTCCCCAGAAATCATAAAAACAAAAAAAAAATCATTCCTCAAAGTTTATTGCTCCCTCACCTTAGGTTCTTCTACTAAAGGTTCTAGATTCTATATAATTTTTTCCTTACCAAATTAAAGGCCCCAGTGCCAAGCTTGACACCCCCTTCAAACTCATAGAAGAATTCCTGCTCAAGTTTGTTCTTCTGAATTTCATGCAGGATTGAAAGACATTCTCTGGATTGAAGAAAAAAAAAGTATAGTATAAGCTTACCATAACTCTGAAAATGAATATTCAATTAAATTTTACACTTACACATTATAAAATAAATGTCATTAGTCAAAATACAACAGAATTTTTAAATGTATGATGCCAGGTTGAGTTTACTCTTAAGGATATGGGGTAATAATCACCAAGGAAAAAGGAGACACCCATTTGTGCCATGTTTAGCAGGACCTCTTTCCGGACTTAAAGAGAGGATTCATCTACCAACAAGCCTGAGAACTCACAGAGCACAGGACTGTGATCTCACACCTTACAGGAGACCTCCCAGAAGTGCTTAGTTGCTCAGTTGCTATGCACGGTTCAGCAACCCGACCTTCCACCTAGGAGCTGAGATGCTCCTGGCAAGAGGACATGAATTTCAGTGTGAATGCCATGGTTTCAAACAGATTAAACAAATAAGAGCTTGGGACAAAGAAAGACAAAGAAGAAAGCAAAGGCCATCACAGCTGCCCCATATGTGATCTCTGGTCTCTTCCTGCCCCATCCATGCAAATCACTGTAATTTCTTTGCTCACTGTAATTTCTTTCTGTGTATTTCTCTTTCCCGTTCACATTAACTTCAAAAGGTTAAGAAACATAAAACAATGACAAAGATATAAAATTGTTAATAGCTGAGAATTGTTTATCAAATTGACAGATATATATTGTAAAGGTAATAAGGAATAATGAGATACCATCTATCACCAGGTGTGATGCAAATATAAAGCCAGCAACTTCGCTTATAATATATTCTAACCAAATACTCCTAACCTGAATTTAGCAAGCCTATAGACCTAACTTCCATTTCAAAAAAAGGTTGAGACAAACCAATTTAGATGCTCAACAACCTACGAGCATCCCATGCTGTCATTTATAACCCATTTCCATTTGTACTTACTACAGGTGTATTTTGCCATGATAAAATATGAATGTTTATATGGTCAAGTCAATCAACCTCTTCTGATTTCTGACTTTATGTCATGGTTACAAAGGCCTTTGAAACTGACATTATGTACCCACTGATAGCACTTCTATGGGATCCCTGCCACAGATGAATAATCTGAATTTAATCATAAAGAAACACTATATAAATCTACCTTAAGAAATGTTCCATAAAGTAACTGGCCAGTATTCTTTTGAAATGTCAGCATCATGAAAGACAAGGAAACACTGAGGAACTCTTCCAGATTAAAAGAGACTAAGGAGATACAACAACTAAATACAACATACAGGATGCTGGGTTGGACGCTGGACCAGAAAAGGGACACTGATGAGACAATTGGAAAAATTTGAGTAAGGGCCATATGTAGTTATTAATATTGTATCAATGTTAGTTTCATGATTTAATAATTGTACTGTGGTTCTGCGGAAAGCAAGCATTTGCAAATCAGAGTGAAGGATGCACAGAAATTCCCTGTAATGATTCTGAAATTATTTCAAAGGAGATATACTAAAAAGTAAAAGGTTTAAAGGCTTTTATATTTTGGAATTATAAAAATACTTTCCTATGTTTCCTGCTAGAATTTTTAAAAAGTATTTTAATATTAAATTTATATACTTTATTTTTGTCTTAATGGTCCTTTTTCCTCAAAATGAACAATTTTCCTAAAAGCATTTATTAAAGTACTTATTTTTCCCTAATGTTTTGAAAGGGACCTATGCATATATATATAGTAGTTTAATATATTTCAAATTCTCAGAGATGTTGTGTGTGTATACTCATGTTTATAAGCACATGTGTGTGCACACATGTGTTGTCTATTTCAAAACCTGTGGTCCAGTTTACTGATATAAACAGGCATATCTTGTTTTATTGAACTTCGCTTTATTGCATTTTTCAGATATTGTATTGTTTACAAATTAAAGGTTTGTGGCAGCCTGCATCAAGGAAGTCTATCTGCACCACGTTTCCAACAGTACGTGCTCAATTCATGTCTGTGTGTCACATTTTGGTAATTCTCATAAAATTTCAAACTTTTTCATCATTATTTTATCTGTTATAGTATGTGATCAGTGATCTTTATTGTCACTATATATTTTAACTGTTTTGGGGCACCACAAACTATACCCACATAAGATGGTGAAATTAATTGATAAATGTTGTATGTGTTTGGACTACTCCACTGACTGGCTATTCCCCCTCTCTCTCCCTCTCCTCTCTATCCCGAGTCGCATCAATATTGAAACTGGGCCGATTAATAACCCTATAACAGCTTCTAAGTGCTCAAATGAAGAGTGGCACATCTCTCACTCTAAATCAAAAACTAGAAATGATTAAGCTTAGTGAGGAAGGCATGTCAAAAGCAAAGACAGCCCAAAAGCTAGTCCTCTTGTGCCAAACAGTCAAGTTGGGAGTAAAAAAGAAAAGTTCTTAAAGAAAATTAAAAATGCTACTGCAGTGAACACACAAAGGATAAGATAGTGAAACAGCCTTATTATTGATATGGAGATATTTTGAGTGGTCTGTACAAAAGAACAAACCAGTCACAATATTCCCTTGAGCCAAAGCCTGATTCAGAGCAAGGCCCTAACTCTCTTCAATTCTATGAAGGCTGAGAGAGGTGAGGAAGCTGCAGAAGAAAAGTTAAAAACAAGCAGAGGTTGGTTCATGAGGTTTCAGGTTAAAAGTCATCTCCACAACATAAAAGTACAAAGTGAAGCTGCAAGCACTTCTTTAGAAGCTGCAGCAAGTTATCCAGAAGATCTAGCTAAGATAATTGATGAAGGTGGCTATGCTAAAAAACAGATTTTCAATGCAGATGAAACAGCATTCTAGTGGAAGAAGATGCCATCTAGAACTTTCATAGCTAGAAAGAAGTCAACATCTGGCTTCAAAGTACACGCTGACTCTCTTGTTAGGGGCTAATGCAGCTAGTGACTAAGTTGAAGCCAATGCTTATTTACCATTCCGAAAATCCTAGGGCTCTTAAGAATTATGCTAAATCTATTGTGCTAGTGTTCTATAAATGGAACAGCAAAGCCTGGATGAAAGCACATCTCTTCACAGCACTGTTTACATAATTTGAAGCCCAGTGTTAAGACCTATTGCTCAGAAAAAGAGATTCCATTGAAAATATTTCTGCTCATTGACAATGTACCTGGTCACCTGAGAGCTCTGATGAAGATATAGAAGGAGATTAATGTTGTTTTTTTGCCTGCTAACACAACATCCATTCTGCAGCCCATAAATCGAGGAGTAATTTTGACTTTCAAGTCTTATTATTTAAGATATATGTTTTGTAAGGCCATAGCTGCCATAGAGAGTGACTTCTCTGCTGGATCTATGTAAAGAAAATTGAAACTTTTGGAAAAGATTCACCATTCTAGATGTCATTGAGAACATCTGTGATTCATAGAAGGAGGTAAAATTAGCAACATTAACAGAAGTTTGGAAGAAGTGGATTCCAACCCTCATGGATGACTGTGAGGGGATGACTTCAGTGGAGGAAATCACTGCAGATGTGGTGAAAATAGCGAGACCTAGAATTAGAAGTGGAGCCTGAAGATGTGACTGAATTGCTACAGTCTCATGATCCAATTAGAACGGATGAGGAGTTGCTTCTTAGGGATGAAGAAAGAAAGTGGTTTCTTGAAATGGAAAACTACTGCTGGTGACGGTGCTGTGAACACTGCTGAAATGACAGCAAAAGATTCAGAATACTACATAAACTTAGTTGATAAAGCAACAGCACAGTTTAAGAGGATTAACTCCAATTTTGAAAGAAATTCTACTGTGGGTAAAATGCTATCAAACAGCATGGCACACTACGGGGAATTCTTCCATGAGAGGAAGAGTCAATCAATGTAGCAAACTTCTTTGTTGTCTTATTCTAATAAATTGGCTGGGCATGGTGACTCATGCCTATAATCCCAGCACTTTGGGAGGCCAAGGCAGGAGGATGGTCTGATGCCAGGAGTTCTAGATCAGCTTAGGCAACACAGTAAGACCCCATCTCTACAAAAAATTTAAAAACTAGCTAGGCATAGTGACACATGTTTGTAGTCCCAGCTATTAGGGAGGCTGAGGCAGGAGGATTATTAGAGCCAAGGAGGTCGAGGCTGCAGTGAACTATGACAGCACCACTGCACCCCAGCCTGGGTGACAGACTGAAACCCTGTCTCAATAAATCAATTAATCTACCCCAACCTTCAGCAACCACCACCCTGATAAGTCAGCAGCCATCAACAGAAAAGCAAGACCTTCAATCAGCAAAAAGATTATGGCTTGGTGAAGAATCAGATATTCATTAGCATTTTTTAGTAATAAAAGTGTTTTTAAATTAAATAGACTATAGTATCATGTAAATATAACTTTTAAATGCACCGGAAAACCAAAAAATTTGAGTGACTCACTTTACTGTGATATTCACTCTATTACAGTGGTCTGGAACTGAAGCCATAATATGAGGTATGCCCATATGTCTTTGCCATTACAGGACTATTTTTCATTCCTTTCATTTTTTTAAGTTTTGATGACTAGAACAGCAATTAACACTCAATTAAACATTCTTTTATACCTTCTAAACATATTTCAAGAAGAAATCTAAAAATAGTATGTCAGGTGCCCAAAATCTACCAACCCCCTCCCAGGATTCTGAATGGAACACAATTTTATGAAGTGATTTTAGGTAAAAGTACCCCTTAAAACACTAAATTTTGGTTCTTTTTCCAGTAATGGCAGTATAGCTTATGTTAGATTAACCCTCCCATAAATAACAATTATAAACTATTGGAAAAGTATAAAATATATATTTAAAGTATATTTGCAGGTAGTAGAAAGCAAAGGGAAAAAAATAGAAGGAAATTGGAAAAGAATCAAACCTTTAAAGAAGGGAACAACTATTGTATGAACTTTACATTTACACAGCTATTCACCGATGAATAGCATTCACTGAATGCTATTCCCCAATCTATTCAATGTAGGGTGCCTAGAACTCAAATGGAAAACCACCGTCTTACTAGCTTAAAAAGCCAGAGTACAAAGGGTAAGACTGCCAGAGTAGCTGTCAGGTGATGGGAAAATGCCCATATATGGGAGAACCACACAGGAAGGGAACACCAAAATCTGTGTTAAAACTCCACTCAAATGCTTGGCTGACCCATGAACTATGTGAACACTGGGGAGACTCCAAGGAAAAGCAGGAGCAAGACAGCAGAAAGAGTAAAACAGATTTCAAATGCTGCTCACTACTGGAGAGTAAGAATTTGGAGTGTAAATTCTAGTCAAATTAAATGCTTCCTAGAATAAAAATCAGCACTCTTCAGAGAAAGGATAAAAAAATACAGACTCTCTATAATGTGTTAACATCTAGTATACAATAAAAAATTATTGAATATGAGAAGAAACAGAAATATGACATACAGTCAAGAGAAAAAGCAATCAGTAGAAACCAACTCCAAGATGACCCAGATGTTGGTATAATATCCAATCTGAAAATTTTTTTTTTTTTTTTTTTGAGACAGAGTCTCACTTTGTTGTCCAGGCTAGAGTGAGTGCCGTGGCGTCAGCCTAGCTCACAGCAACCTCAAACTCCTGGGCTCGAGTGATCCTTCTGCCTCAGCCTCCCGAGTAGCTGGGACTACAGGCATGTGCCACTATGCCCGGCTAATTTTTTTTATATATATATCAGTTGGCCAATTAATTTCTTTCTGTTTATAGTAGAGACGGGGTCTCGCTCTTGCTCAGGCTGGTTTTGAACTCCTGACCTTGAGCAATCCGCCCGCCTTGGCTTCCCAAGAGCTAGGATTACAGGCGTGAGCCACAGCGCCCGGCCCTGAAAAAAATTTTTTTTAATGAACAGCACCTTAGTGACTTAATGAACAAAATCAGGCAGACTAACAGGTATAATTGGAGTCTCAGAAAGAAAGAAGAGAATGAGAATAGCAAAGAAAAAAATTTTTGAAGAAATAATAACCATAAATTTCTCAAAACCACACTTAGATACATCAAAGTCAAATGGCTGAGACCCAAAGATACAAAATAGTCAGGCTTCAAAAAAGCAAGAAGAAATGACACATTAGACATAGGAGAACAATTATATAGATGACAACTGATTTCTGATCATGAATAATTGAGGCCTCAATAAAATGGAATGGAAGTTTCTCAAGGGCTGAAAGAAGAAAAAACAACAAAAAACCCTCTGTTAATCAGAATACCATAGTTAGCAAGAATATCCTTGAAAATGAAGGCAAAAGTAAAGATATTTTCAGATAAATAAAACAGAGAGAATTTGTTGAAAGTTGACATACACCACAAGAAATGCTAAAGGAAGTTCTTCAGTCTGAAAGTAAACAGGAATGACTGAAGAATACCAAAAACAGTAAATATATGAGTAAAGAGAGAAGACTATAACATATGACTGTTTAAAGCAAAAGTCTGGCACTGTATTATAGGGTTTATGATATATGTAAGTGTACTATATATCATGAGAATAGTATGAAGGACAACAGGTGATAAAGGAAACTATACTTTTGCAAAGTTCTTGTATTTTATGTGCAGTGCTATCATATTAACTTTAAGTTGACTGTGATAAGTTAAGGAGGATATATTAAAGTCACTAGAGCAAACATTAGAAATAATTAAAGAGAGATATAGCTAAGAAGACAATAAAGGATTATACTATTTTGTTTTAATTTTGACTAAAGCAAAAGAAGACAGCATAAGGGGTAGGGAACAGATGAGGCAAAGAGATAAACCAAAATGGTAGTCACAAGTGCAAACATATTAATTGCCCAATTATGTGCATGTATAAGAAATGCAATTTAAATATTAAAACAAAGATAGGTTTAAAGTAAAGGAATATATACCATGCAAAGACTAACTATAAAAAGCAAGAATGACTGACTATACTTATGAGACAAAATAGATTTCAATACAAAAAATATTATAAGAATTAAATAAGGACATTTCATAATGATAAAAAAGTTGGAAGATGGGGCAATTATAAATATACATGAGCCTAACAACAGAGCTCCTAAATCTACAAGGCAAACGCTGACAGAACTAAAATGAGAAATTGATGACTATAGATTCAAAGTTGGAGATTTTAACACTCTGAGGAAATGACAGAACTAGACAAAAATCAGTAAGGATATAGAAGATATGAACAACATTATGGGCCATCTTAATTATACATTGCCATCCACTGCAGAAAGTTCTATTGGGTAGTGCTGCTCTAAAGTCTGAACCAAGGACATACCTGTTATTATAAATTTATAAATTGCTCTTAGGAGAGAGAAACTAAGATTATCTAATCAGAAATTATATCAGAAAAAAAGATATTATGTCAGTAGTTTTCTTTTCAGCTATTTTGCTCTTAAAATTGTGTTTAAACTTAAATCTGTTGTCCTATGGCACTGAATACGTACTCAGCTAATAATGAAGCGCATTTCTACCAACACCAAATTAAAAAAACCTAGTCATACTTAGTTTATGAAAATTCTGAAGAACAAAGCAGTATATGGCACAAAATCATATAAAAACTATATCTTACTTTTAAACTTACTTATATATTTGGTAACTTGTTCTAATTTTGAGTCCACCTTTGATGAAGTTGATCATATTTTCATCCTGAAAATAATTCAATTAAATAATTAGATCATTTACCAAAAATTTTAAGCTGTCCCTACAGTTTTGAATTTCTGTGATTAGAAAAAAAACTATCTTTTGAGGGCATAATTTTGAAATTAGCACATTCTTCTTGCTATACATGCATTAATGTGAAATTTTTTGTCATTTTTCTTCCAAGTTAGAGGACAACAAAAAAAATTTTTAAATCCTTGCATTACTTTTTATTACTAAGGAGATAATCCTTACCAATTAGGGGCCATATGTAGTGCAAACCTACTTTAACCAACATCAATATCTACTAAGCAATTCTCTTCTGGGTTCAACAGAATCCAAAATGGTTGACTTTAAGGATCTGCTCTAAGGCTAACTTTTCCAGCCCATCATATCCAGTAAACAGAACTATGGTTCTTCTTTCACAGAGTACTTTAGCAGGTAAAGTCTATTTAACATTGTGAATTTCATTCATATACATTTTCAGACCAAAAATAACTGATCTGGTTTCTAAAGTGGCTGTCACTAATATTCAATTTTGTTTTAGGGGAAAAAAATAAAACCACTTTACTTCTCTTTGTCTGATGGTCATTGACCATAAAATTGAGGCAGTTGGTCTAGATGAATGGCATTTTCAGGGTCAGCATTCTAGGATTTTTCTAATGTTCTTAATAAATTCCATCAAATAAGCACTTCAAGGAAGTTACTCTAATAGATGGTGTTGGTGGAGACAGTCCCATGTTTCAAATTTCCAAGGAGAATGTTTTTCTAGTCTATTGCTATCAGAAAGATGCTCTAGTATTTAGTTCCTGTGTACTTAAGCATCCTTCTGAAGCAAAAGAAAAACTGAATTTAGTTTACTCATTTCATTAATTACTCAAATATTTAACATTCCAATTATAAGAATCAATAGATAGAAAATTTACAACACAACTTAAATATTTATCTTATTTTTAAGGAATCTTATAATTACATAAGATCCAATACTGAGCAAGAAAGAATTGCTTAAATTAAAATGTGCCTCAGAAAAGAGTATTTCATTTCATGATTCATCAAACACTTACCGAGAGCCTATTTTATACCAGGCACCCAAATGCGAAAAAGACAAAGGCAATACATTGTGCTCAGAGATGAAGGCATGCACAGGGAAGGAGGAAGAAGGCATGCACAGGATGTCATGACAGCATGTTTCTGGAGAGAGCCAGAAATGCCTCCTGGAAGCACAGGTGCTTAAAGCACAAAAATGGTTAGAAAGCAGCCAGGTGAACAGAAGTAAAGCAGTTGTGAACTCTGTAAGCAAAGTAAGATTCAGGTGGAAAGGCAGGAAAGCATTAAAGATCATGGTGGATTTGGTCATGTGTGTGTGTGTGTGTGTGTGTGTGTGTGTGTGTGTACATGTAACTCTGCACTGCTAAAGAATCCATTGCAAAGAGGGGAATGACCAAGGAGTAAGACAACTACCTCCACCAGTGCCACTCAAGTATGCAATATACCCCTGCTTGGGGCAATCTGAGGACACCTGTAAGAAGGGGAGTAGGGAATTTGGGGAGCAGCACCAGTTTCATTTGAACTCCACCCTGTCTGTGACAGTCTGATACAGGATACCACCAGAGTTCATCAGAGCTACTAACTTCTAACGTAGAGGAATGACCATGTCAGAGTCTCATTTTTGAGACAGCACTCAATTGCAGAATAGAGAATGAACTGGAGGTGAAAGAAAGTAGAGTCACTAAGTTGCTGTATAGTTACTACACGAGCACCTCTACTAGAATAATGATAGACTACACAGGAAAAAAGATGGAACTGTGAAATCTATAAAAGGCAAAAGCAACATGAATATGTAACTGGGTATGGGAGCATGAGGAAGAGGGAAAATTCATGGCTATCTCCCAGATGTTTAATTTCAAGTCCCCAGATATAAAAACAGCCTTCAAACTCCCAGATTTGATTGCCAAACCCCCATTTGGAAAACACATCAGAAAACAATTTGGGCCTCCGTGACTATCATGACAATGTTTACTGAGGCAGTAAGCCGCTGTTATCAACCAGCCTTTGTAATGTGTAGGGTTTTAGGAAACGGGGTCATGGAGCACACTGATTCAATTTACCAGATTCCAACCTAAGAGGTCAACCTCCAGAGAAAGAAAGAAGTAATTCCCAAAATAATTTAAAAAGTTCAGACTGAGGAACATTTTCCATTTTATTGTTGAATTTCTTTCTGACGCCTTACAATCTCCACCTACCATTCCCTCACTGTAGCCATCACTACCACCCATGAGGCTACTATGTGAAAATCTACATTTTTTTGAAGTTTTGGAAGATAGAGAAACAGTTCCTAGAGGTGATATTAAAATACCACATAAGGATTCATTGTTTTGTTTAGTGACTTTTTAAAATTGCTCTTCCAAAGGAAGAAATGAAAGCAAGAAGGGTGAATGAGAGTAGAAAAAAAAAAAAAGGGAAAAATAAAATCTGAAGTATACGTGGAGAGTTTGGCTACCTACGCATGCGCATGCGTAAGTGAACTTGGCTGAAGCAGATGGTACAAGAAGGGAGTGGCCAAGGATCAAGGATCCCACCTCCCCCTAGACCACTCCCGTGCAGATAAATCCTCTACCAGTAGCAAGCGTAAAAAGGAATAATATCACAGTTTTCACACAGAAGTGTCCAGAAATTAGGTGTGGCAGTTGCAAAGCAGTTTCTTTAAAGGGCAGTGATTCCCAGCAGATTGGAATTCTAAATGGACTTTAAGTGCATTTGAGTAAAAATAAAGCTCTCTGGAGTCTTTTTTAGAGCCAGCCTTTATCAGAATAACAAACAAACATCTTTCATTACCACTCTAAGTCAAAAGAACTGAAGCACCAACATAGAATGAGCCCCATTTTTCTATGCCATACTGGCAGTCTTCCCGGCCAATACTAATTCTAAGCCAACGTTCATTACCTGCACAAACGTGAGTGCTGCTTTCTGCAGGAGACACTCGGCATAACAGATTTCAGCATGCATTTCCTCTATTAGAAACAAATAAAATTATATTAAGGAAAATCCCATGTCTACCGTAATTGCTCTGAGATGTTCAGGAAAGACCAGTAGATAAATGTACCCAAGAGAGACACAAAAACCTAGATTGCTTTGGTTCTTCCATAAAAGCAAAATGATAACCTCAGTTCTTAATCCCCCAGCAAGATTTTCCTGGAATATATACAATGTTTGGGGAAGTCATCTTCAGCCCATTCAAACTTAACTGCAAAGAGTCAGGCACTTAGTGTCAGAGACTCAAACTCAGCTCCTAAAAGAAAACCAAAACTTAAAAGCACTTTTAAAAAAAGGAAACCACTTATTTTTTAACTTAATAGTAACATGAAAGTTTAACACAGTTATAAAGATTAAAAAAGTAAATTTATGAATTCTGACTTCTAAAATATGAAGGTGTGATAATTATGACAATAACTAGACACATTATTAACCTAAAGAGAAAGCAGCAATTCTTCTAGAATCCTGTGGAAAAGAATTGCCCTGCATGCCCAAGTTAGGACTCCTCACACAGAGAAGGCTTGATTATAAAGAGTTAGCACTAACCCAGTTTCAGGCTAATTTCATCATTTAGCTGTCTAGCACAAGAACGAGATATTAGGGGCAGATAAAGCTATGTGCACTGCAGAGACATGAGGAGTGCCCCAAAACACATGTCCTTGTTTCATAAACAATCCTTTATACTTGCAGAGACTGGGGAGTCAAATCTTTGCATTTTGTATACATAAAGTCAGCAGATTCCTGTTTTATTCACAGGATGCAGATTGATATGGTATTTAAGTGAATGAGCCTGCGGTGTGTAACAGCCTAGGTTGGTGGAAAGGTTCTACCATGAATTAGCTATGGGATCTTGAGCATGCTACCCTACCTCTCTCTGCTGGCTTCCCCACTTATAAAGGCCACTAATAACATCCCTACCTCGCAGTGGAAGGACTACACAGGCATTGTGTGCAGAGCTTGCTACATAGAGTAAGCAATTGATAAATGCTAGCTACTTTCACTAAGATTATTGCCCCTGGCCATGTCAGTGCTTCTTGGTAAAAGCTCAGAAAGCAGAAAGCATTTTTATGTTGAATAAGTAGCTGGAAAATAGGGTATTTCTGTGTTATTAAGAATGCTGTTGAATCCAACTAGATAAGAACACTACTTTCTTATACACACAAACCCTACCCCCACCCTATATACATACAACCCACTGCTTCTCACAAATGGGTCCTAACTGCTGCCACACTCATATTCCGAATGTTTAATTTACAAAGAAGCAACTCTGCAGCTAAGATCCCCACCAGCACACAGATAGATGGGGTCAAACCCATGCCAGTTGCAACCTGTGCACATTCTAGCAGCATCCACAGTCAGGGTCTCAGTCCTTCGGAATGCTTCCCCTCCAAGTGTGCCTCTTGATTTTCTTGGTGTGTACAGTGGGACAGAAACTGGTAATATTTTTACATAGCCGCCAGAATGTCCTCTTCCTAGGTAACTTTGTAACAAAGTGAGAATTGTCCGGAATTATTAACTAGGAAAGTTTGCTCAAAAGTACAGATTGCTGGCTTGGGGCAGGTGCAGAGGGGATGAGGTCGGTGGTGGTGGAGGACCAGCAGGAGCCGAGGCATGGAGCAAGGAAAGCCCAGAGCACCTTCGGGGAAAGGCCAGGCTATGTCAAGGGAGGAGAGGGCAATGATGCTGGAAAGGAAAGTCGGGGCTCACTTGTGGTCGGCCTTGAATGTCAGAGTCTAGGTTTGGTTCAGTAAGCAACAGTGAATCCTTGCAGAGTTCTGGGCAGAAGGGTGGACAGATCAGGGTTAAGCTACAGATGGACAAATCTAAGAGCTGCACAAAGGATATAACAAGAAGGCAGGAGAGTTCGAACTCTGTATTCCACAAATAAGTATTCTTCACAGTAAATCCCTTTCATATCCTAGGCACTGCATATAAGTATCTGTTTTTAAAGGCAATTTGACACCCAGTCAGGGCAACGTGCCAGGCACATAAGAAAAGAGTTGGTGCATTTCACGTTAAACCCTTGAAAAGTTTAATGAAATATACATACTCCTTCAGACAAGGAGACACTCAAGGATGTAAATGAAAATTACCAAGAGGAAAAACAAATCACACACTAAAGCTACAATGTTTTGACATGCTCCCTCAAACACAAAGTCTGTTTGGGTTGCAGTGACAGCCAAACTCACTAGGAATGAAATACAACTTGATTTGTAAGTCTTATTCTTTCACCACGGTTGATTTACATTGTGCAATTCCTTAGTTCTCAGAATTAGCCATTAGGTATTTATGAGTATGTACCTACCAGAATATCTCTCAATCATAAATTCCTTAGTCCACTGAAGAAAATATCTTCATGATGCACTGAAATGTTAGCTACGTACAGCCTTTAGAGAAAAAAGTCTAAACAAACCTGTATTTTAGAATAGGCTATAGTCACAAGCTAGTCTGTTTGTGTGTTTACTTACAGACAGGGCCTTGTTCTGTCACCCAGGCTAGAGTGCAGTGGTGTCATCATAGCTCACTACAACCTCAAAAAGATCAGCCTCCCAAAGCTGCCTCAGCTTCCTGAGTAACTGGGACTACAGGCACGCACCACCATGCCCAGCTAATTTTTTTCTATTTTTTTTTTTTGTAGAGATGGGGGTCTCACTCTTCCTCAGGCTGGTCTCGAACTCCTGGCCTCAAGTAATCCTCCTGCCTCGGGCTCCCAAAGTGCTAGGATTACAGGCATGAGCCACTATGACTGGTCTATTTTTTAACAATTGGTAAAAAGTAATTTTCTACCTTTTGCCAGATTTCCTAAAGTGCCATTAACTAAAGATATTATAAAAAGAACACAGTATCATCTATTTTCAAGACATCTAACACAGAAATAATTCAACATTTCACTCATCCAGATAGGATACATTTTGTGCCCTTTTCTACCCACCTACAGGAGAACATGTGTGTTCCAGTGGGAAGAATGCGGCTCAGGGGAAGCAGATCAGATTTAACCCCCCCCCCCCCAGCTCATCAGGTAACCCTGGCCATTTGTTTAATCTCTCTGAACATCAGTTCCTAGTCTATAAAGAGGTTACACAGATTAGATTGGCTAATGTTAAGGAAGGCACCAAGGGCAGCATCTGCCACAGCTTTTAAAAAATGGGGCATTATCATTTTATTTTAAAATTACTATTTATACTCACACCGAAAATACCATGTGATTCTTCCCAAAACTAAGGTAAAAAAAAATCTCAAATGTCAACCTTCATACTATAAAGGAAAAGAGAGGCAGGGGTCAATGGGCTACTGGAGAAAAGCCATATAGACGGTAACAGTAACAGAAAGGAGAATGCAAACAAAAGAGTCAAATTCCTTTGGGGCCCTCTTAATTTTCCATTGACCCACTTTAGTGGACTTTGGACCTACTGGGACCAATTATATAAATGGCCCAAACATGTAAAATATGAAAACATATTCTAACTGAAGTCAAGGAGATAAATAAATTCTCAGGAATACTTGGAGGTCTGTTTCTGGATGATGGGTTTCAGCTGCCTCGGCTGACAAATGAAATGCCATTCTGTTTTACCACGTTTTGGGGTCAACATCATACCCCTTTTGGAACAAGTCCCAAAGATGTGATATGTCTCATAATCCTCTGCTATAATCAACATTCTCACATCATGTAAATGTTCCCAGGTTCCCCAATGTCCATAACAAGTTGAATGTACTTGTCTAACACAACAAAACTTCATAATAAAATACACTCAGAAATGTGTCTGCCGTATACTTGACCATTAGGAATGACTCTGCCAGCAGTATCCAGAGTTGCCCTTGCTTTAATCAGCCAAAGATACTTCTAGTATTTTGTGTTACATATTCCAGAGAACAAGTTTGACAATGATAACATGGGCATAAATTCTCCTGGGATAGCATAAGCTTTATTCTACAATGGCCATATTTCAAGGACATATTTTTTTTTTCTTCTACAGGATTTTCCAGATGCTCCTTTCCTGTGAACCATTCTGACTAGAGTGTAACACTGACAAAACAGGGCTGATCATGAGACTTCTACCCTAATCTCAGAGGGAACATTAAGCAATTGACAACAACAGGAGTCATTTCCTCCCAACCACCTCATCAGGGTGCTGTAGCCATTCCTGGATTCTTGAATATTCCTAAATGTTCACAAATCAAACATATTCCATTATCATTTTAAAAAGATATCAAAATTACTTTTGCCTTGGAAAAAAATTTTAATAGCTTGTCGAAAACTGTAGATGGATGGTAAGACTATAAATGGACCTCAGTTTTTGTAGGAAAAACTGGCAATACCTACAAATATTTAAAATTTTTTAAACCTTCAGTCCCAGTTATTCTTTTAGGAATCTATCTATGAAATAACTTGAAAAAAATGCATGAAGACATACAGCAAACCTTTACTGACAGAGCAAAAAAAAAATGCATGAAGACATATGCACAAGGATTTTAGGACAGCATTATTTGTAACAGTGAAAAAACAAAAATAATACAGAAAAAGTAGTAAATTATGTATACCCATCCTATGGAATACTACATAGCTATTGAAGAGAATGAAATATATATTCATATGTACTGACCTGGGAAAACATCAATGTCAAAATCACCTTGTAGAACAACATATATCATGTGATTCAATGCTTGCAAAAAAACGAGCAATACGTGAACAACAACAAAAACCCTATGTATACCTTATGTATATACTTGTATATGTACACAGAAAAGTCTGCAAAGCTTCAAAACCAACTATTAACAATGGTTACTTCTGGAGGGTGAGCAAGACGAGGAAGAAAAAAAGATACCATTTACTATACACACTTCAGTATTGAATTTATGAGATGATCATTTTTTAATTTTACATAAATGCAAAAAGTAATCTTTTAAATAACTCTTACCTTCACTCAGCTGTTCCAGTGATCCTCTAGAAAGAAGACTTGAGAAAGATTCTACAACCGTAAATTTTTTCCTATATCTGCATTGAATAATAGAAGAGGAGATGAAAAAGAAAAAGAAAAAAATAACGGCAAGTTAGACTGCGCTCATTTTCATTTGACATTCATTTGGGTCACAGTCACACCAAAGAGTCACCAAGCTGGAATGCCAAACCCTACAGTGGACAGGGCAGAGACAGTCCTCTTCCAACACTCTAGACCCTGCACTGGCTGGCAGCCATGGGAATGCAATCCATGTTACCAAACACGTGTGTGGGAAAACCCACACACACCGGTGAATACCAAACCTGCAAACCTGCAGAGCACCCATCTTTAATCTCTACGGCTAAAATCAATATTTCTGTGATAAGATTTTCTACACCAAAGAAAAAAAAAAAACGTTAAAAAGGAGTTAAAAGTTCAATATTTGAAAACTCTCTTCATTTGTGGGGTCTGCAACATAACTACATGAGGATGTAATTTTACCCATGTTAAAATTCACCGATGCTAATAATAGCTTTTGCTAAGGTCTTCCTATACGTACAGAGGAGAGCTTAAAATAAACTAAAAATCCATCTCATTTTGACCAACCCAAAGTGTTCAAAAACATCCTTTTTCTTTTTGAAACCCCTGTACAACTGTAGTCTTCAAATATGTCCTTCTTAAACAAAACATTCGCTTCTGAACTCAGAGATCTCCCACATAAAGCAAGAACACTCCTTGCTCGGCTCGCTATGGCACGCTACACCTGATCTCACCCACTACAGGGAGACAGTGAGAGATGCTTGCTGCTAACTCCACTGAAATCCCCCTCAAACTGTCTCTGTAATTTGGGCCCCAAGCTGTCAAAAAGAAAATAGAAGGTATAGATGTCAAATGGGAATGCTATTATAATTCCTAATAAAAAAAATTTAATACTATTACATAAAAGCCCTTTTCTGTAACTGTGGCCAGCTTCAAACACAGAGCTCTCAGTCAGGCAAACAGCATTTATTGTGTCACACAGGCATGAGGGTTTGCAGTCATATCTCAAGTGTTTAATTACTCAGGCATACTTCTGGCAGGTTTGTAAAGCGTCCTTCATGGCCGAAATGCCGTTTTGGATGTCCTGTTGCTCAAAGGTCATGACGGCCTGCAACACCACAATGGTACTGTAGCCCAGGGCATGGTACATGCTCTCCTTAGCCCTGGGGAGAACACAGGGAATTAGTACAGAACAGAAAAAGCATTCCAGGCTTTGTCTGATACTGATCATAAGAAATCCTAGCAAATGCATGTCCTGACTTTCACAGAAATAGCCTTTACTCCTTCACCATAATCCCTGAAATGATATGGACTATGAAAGGTGTGCTCTTAAAAACTCAGGTATCAACGACTTTGCAATTTAAACCCACATAGGCAGAATAAAATATTCCCGGTTGAAGCCGGAGTGGACAACATGCTTTTCCCACTTTCAGCACAAGGGGGCAGCCTGTGGATTCAAAGGTTTCAAAGCAAACCTATTTTTTTCAGTTGAACAAGGGGCAATGCACTATCTGTGGCTCTGAAGTAAGTGCTAAAATAAAAGCTGCTGGAAATGTATTTTTGTGAAAGATTCTGGTTTTTTGGTAAGATAAAGGCTCATTTAAAACCATCCCCTCTTCTCTCCAGCCAGAGGTCAAGAGTAAGCAAGATTTTTGTAATAAATTAGTCTAATCTAATCCCATTATCTGAGATTCCTAATTAAAGTTCTTAATAATTCAGATTATCAAGTTACAGTAAGAATTGCTTTGGATTCTTAAGGATGTTAATTAGTCCTAATGTATGGCAGATATCCAGATTTTCGGGCTGTGAAAACACCACCATTTCTTTTCTCAAAACTTAAGTTATATTAATTATTTATAAAGTTTAAAGTAGCAATGCATGGTTTTGTTTTTAATTTAAATATTAATGCACAACAGCTTGCTGCTATGCAAAACAAATGCAACCCACATTATTCTTCTCCCCCATGGAAACAGTATAAACATCCTGTGGTATAATAATTTGCAAATTAGTAGTTTGTCCTGAACATTAAGGGCACTCACTGCCTGTTCAAAAGAACCACAAGGAATAAAAGCAGCCCAAAGTTAATCATTAATTGTGGTTTCAAACCTCACATTTTTAACTGAAAGCTCTTCTAGGAGGCAAGAAAAGGATTCAAGTTAGAAAAAAAGTATTTTTAACAGTGAAACATGCACAAAGATCAGAGAATATAAAACTTAACTAAATATAATACTAAATAACTTATTTTCATCCCACATTATCACCAGCAGGGTAACAGTGGCAGGGGAAATAAGAGACTTGTTTGAATTAAAAACAAAGGAGATAATGGGCACAAATATATAATCAGAAGGAATAACTTCTAGTATTCAATAGTATAGTAGGGAAATTATAGTTAATAATTTACTGTATACTTCAAAATAGTTAGAAGAGAATAAATGTAATGTTTCCAACACAAAGAAAAGATAAATGCTTGAGGTGATGGATATCCTAATTATCCTGACTTGATAATTACGCATTATATGCAGCTATCAAAATACCAATGTGTATGTACCTCCCAAATATGTCCAACTATAAAGTATCAATAAAAAATACAAAAACAAAAAACAAAGGAGATAGGCGGATAGGCTGAGAGAAGAGACAGAGAGAGAGGAAAAGACAAGGAAATGGAAGATGACAAAGGTAGGTAGAGTCAGAAGAAGACAGAAGTCTGAAGGACCGAGAAAGACAGAGGGAAAAGGCAGGAGACAGGCAAGGAAGGTGCAGACTATGAGACAAGTTTTGAGACAACACTGGTCCACTTCCTTAGACTACGGGCTTCGCTATCTATCTCATCACTTGCTCTTACCCTGTGAGATGCTCACTGCCCAACCTTGACCTCAGCTGCTCCAGATCTTAACAGAATTAACAGAGCAGATCCTCAGTAGGTAAATTAGCCTCTAAGGTTCAAAGTCAGTGGACAGTCAGGTCACCCTGTAGGCCACTGAAAGTAAGGAATGTGATTAATAATCTTCTAGAAAGTTATTATATAAGGTCTAAGCTTCATCCAAGAAAGTGACTGTTTTGAAGGCACAATGTAAGATCATTCTCGCCAAGCGAAAAGCCTAGTAAACAGGCTGAGCACAGGGTTTTTTGCCACATTTGAAAATTTTCAAAAATTAACTATTGATTGAAATTAAATTGCTTAACTTATATATCTGATAAAGGAATCCTATAAATAAGCATATTCTAGTTCTTCCCCTCCCCTTGCAAAGGAAATATTTTTCAATGATATTTAAGTTGAAGAGGATCAGCCATAAAAATATTTCACTGAAGAAAGCAAAATTGAAGCCCTGAAAAACTACATAAGATGACAATATTTGAACAAATATGGAAATTAAAACATGAGAAAGAATTGGATATCTTCTACTGATTAAATTTGAAAAAATAGATTTCTTGACTGACTTTTAAAACTGACCAAAAAGTAAAGGGTCTTAATCAAATTAGCTTTATAAACATTCAAGTAGGAACAGATAAAGTAACTTACAAGCATGACATCAAAGAATCATCAGAAATATCTGAAAAATATTACATCTAAAAGAAATACAGTTAATTACCATGGACGAAGCAATTCTAAGGCGTCTGTAAATTTGTTACTTAAAAATAAGTTCAATGCCACAGCACATTCTTCTAGGCCACTCTTGAGATCCACCTTTGCTGATGATGAACTAAAGTCAAGAAAAAAAAAAAACATAGAATTTCTATAGCTTTTACTATTAGCAAGTTGTCCCAGCAAGTGTGTGTGTGTGTGTGTGTGTGTGTGTGTGTGTGTGTGTGTGTGTGTGTGTGTGGCCTCTGGAGACAGGAGGACAGGTTGGAATTCTAACTTTGCCACTTACTGTGTCTTTAACATCCCTGAGATTCAACTTTCTTATCTGTAAAATGGGACGACCACCATCACCACCACTTCACGGGGCTGTTGTGAGCATGAGATACACTGACAAATACTGCTCACAGCAGGAGCTAAACAGACGACAGTTCCCTGCCACTCTAAAGAGCACAAGTGCAGGAATTATGTACCTCTGTTCATGGGGGAGGGGCAGATCATTTTGTTTTAGTTTGATTATATGAGGGAAAAAAGGTGCTTCAGTGGAAAACTATGCATTATCTAGACTCCAGAGGATACCTCTATAGGTAATTTGATTCTGACTCTACAGGAGCTATGGCCACTCTGTAAATTGTAGGTAATTGGTAGCAGCACAAAATAATTGTCTTATATGTGGAAATTTTGCCCTGGCCAGCAGAGGTTCAACTAACTTCCCTCCCCTACTGTGGAAGCAGCTAATTTTCCTGAATTTGCACATTCATTTCGACATTCCTTTACTCCATACAAATTTGTTCTGTTTTGATTTCTCCTTTGAACCTTTTATAACATCTGCCAAGTGTCCTCACTGATTAATAATTAATAAGTATCATTAATGATTAAATAAAATCTTTAATATGTCTTCATTTTTTGTAACTGTATGAGTCATGATTTAATCCTATTTTGAAAATTATCTGTTAATCACTCTGACAGAAATCTTGTTCTTTAAAACTACAGACATCTCTAAAATGTTTTGTGTAGCAACTCTTAATAGGAAACTATTTCAGTAACAAAATGAGTCCCACATCACTTACTCTAGTCCACCAGAAATACCAAAAATGGGTTCTGAAGGCACTTCCTGGAACCCCCGGTCCACCCCCAGGTCTTCTTGTTACTCAGATCTCAGCCAATGCAGCACCAACGCAGAGCAGCCTAGCTGACCATACCCCCTCCTGTTTCCACACAACTTACTACCATCCAAAAGTATCTTGTGCATGTGGTATTTGTGGACATGCTTATCCATCCTTTCTAGGACATAAATGCAAGCAGGTTGTTTTGGTCACTACTGGGCCACCAGTGCCTTCGGCAGTACCAAGAACATAGTACATGCTCAATAAAATATTGTTTAGTGGTAGATGAGTAGGTAGGCAGAGTTGTTCTGAGTAAAAACAGAAAATTCCTCATGCCTAGAGTTTGAGGCACCTCATCTAGGGTACAGTAGAAATGAGACAAGCTCTTGATGGAGGGGTAGCTAGAGAGCTAATAATTGCTTTGCCTTTAAGTTTCCAATAAATGAAGAGATCAAATAAGAATGGAGTTCACAAACCTCTCACGGGAAGATTTTTCACAAGAAAGTTGCTTGATACCTCCTGTATCAGTCCATCACCAAATTTTGTCAGTGTTACCTCCAGGACCTCCCTGGAATTTATCCTGCTTCATCTCTACCACCCAGTCCAAGTTAGCCCTCATGTGTTGCATGGTGTCTATCAACCCATTTCTTCCCTGACTGCCTACTTCTACTCCCCCCAATCAAATCTTTACCTATAATCCATTCAACTAATATGGAGCACTAACTATATGCCAGACAATCTTCTAGGTGCTGATGATACAGAAACAAACAAGATACACAGGAGCCCTGGCTCTCAAGGAGCTGTCATTCTACTGGGGAGGGGACGGCAGACTTACACAAGCAGACCAGACACTGACTAGGGTCATCTCAGAGTGGGATAAGCCATCTGGGATAGAACCTGGTTTGGGGGAGGGGCAGAGGATGGTCAACGAAAGCTCTTCAAAAAGGTGACATCCAAGTGCTTTATAAGAGAGCCAGCTATGGGAATATCTAGGCTGGGGAGAGAGGGGGTTTCTAAACTACAAATACAAGCAAGGCAGCAAGTGGGAGAAAAGAAAACAGGCAAAAGCCAGAAACTATAGTCGCAAAGAGGACAGATTTTATTCGAAGAACAAAAGGAAACACATTGACTCAGAAATCCTCACTCCTTCTAATCACCACTTCCCTTCAAATATCAGGTTTCCAGTTTTATTCTCATGTGTTCCCTTAATCCTCCCTCCCACCAGTTCTGAGGTTACAGCTCATCCTTTACTACCAGGAAATGGGCTGTGAACAGATATTGGCTCCCCTGACAAACAAACAAACACCTCTGCATCTCAGCTGGCCACATTGTCACCTGGGAGGATATACTATACATGTCCCAGCCTCAAGGGATACACAAAAGAGCGAGTTCAGCACCTCCAAACACGATAAACTCAACCCTTCTAAGTGGTTTACTATGATGTTCACCTGGAATTAACACCCTTCTCCTCCACCCCCACCACCACCACCCACCCATGCTACCGCGTGTTCTGCAAGGAGTGACCAGGATAGCAACTTTCATCTTGGCCAAGACTTCTCTCAAACATCTCTTGGAGACACTTGTTCCTCTCCATTTCCACTGCCATAATGTTAATCGAGACTCATCACTTCAGGTCTGAATTCTGCAAGAATGCTTCCTGACGATTACTATTTTAATTCCATGGTTCCCAAACTTTAGCATGCATTAGACTCGCCTGGAAGACTTGCTAAAACAGATTGCGGACCCCACCTGCAATGTTTCTGATTCAGTAGGCCTGGGGTGGGTCTGACAAATCCCCAAATAATACTAATTCTGCTTTACTTCATCCTCAGACTACTCTTCTCTGCCTACAATAGATGCTCACCACACTGCCTCCTTAGACTAAGAACCTAAAATGGCTACCCACACCTACCACAAGAAGTGGAACTCTGGCCCCACCACACCTGACCAACCAGACTGGACCGGTAAGCAAAGCTCTTTAAAAATAACCAAGCATCTTGCAGGAGGCTCATCAACACGGCATCCCCCTCAAGCCTGGCATGATGCAATAGAAAACTGCCTGGACTGGAAATCAGAAGTCGGCATTGCCATTCTCTAGCCCTGTGACCTTCAGAAAATCACTTAACCTCCCTGAGTCCTTTGCCTCATCTTTGAAACATCTTCCTATTTCACAATGTCTGCAGGAGAAACAAAGGCAATGGTTGCTAAGAGTGTGCGTTGCGAACATTCAATCCCAATGCAAATTAACCACCTATCATTTTCCAAAAGCCATAGGTGCTCAGCTCACCTACTCATATTCCTGACCTGCTGAAGACCTGCACAGGTGCCTTTATGTATCTCTTCAGTATAGGTGAGGACTCTTTCTTCCTGTTTCTAATTTAGAAGATATGTTTAATTTAAGGCAGAATGAGTTTTTAGTCTCATATTTAAAAAAAGAAAAGTATACAAAACAAATACATAAAAACTTGGGACTACACTTGTATTATCATCACTTACTTTCAAATTCCACTTCTTCCTTTATTAATTACTTATTAATAAGCTTGATTGCAAAAAACCACATTTAATGTGGATGAGGATCTAGGCTCTGGAACCAGAATCTTTTATTCATTTCCTGACCGCACTGTATATGATCGCGGCAAGTCACTTTTCCTCCCTTGTAACTCAGTTTCCTTACCTGTGAAATGGATCTAGTAAAAGTACCCACCTCAGAGGTTGTGCTGTTAATACACATAGTGTGCTTAGAGTGGTGTCTGCTACGGAGAAGTCCTCAAGGAATGCCAGCTATTATCATCATTATTTTGCAAGTAACTGAATACCCTTCAATAATTCAGAGCTGTCAAGTACAATTAAAGGGGTTTATTTGAATAATAACCTGTTTTCTGCATTTATCTAATCAACTGTACTATATCAAACAAGTTAGGAAAGATCACAGTGGACAAAGAATAAAATATCAATATGGAAGAGAGAGGATGAATAAAAGTTCAGAACATCGCTGCTTCAGCAACATTTTCTAAACAGTTTTTATTTCTTTTCTTTCTTTTTTAGACAGTGTATTGCATTGTCATTATTTACAAAGACTTGAGAATATATGTGTGTGGAAGGAAGAACTGGTATGGATCAAGGGAGCAAAAAGCAGACAGGAATTCTAGGACCCTTTGCTTGCTAAGTGTATCCAGAAAAAGTTCCTGCTTTGCATCAAGAGCCATCTATTTGAATATTTGTCCCCTCCAAAACTCATGTTGAAATTTAATCCCCAGTAGGGTGCACTGAGAGGTGGGGGCCATTAAGAGTGATTGGGTCATGAGGGCAGAGCCCGCAAAAGTGAATTAATCCATTGGTGGATTAATGGATTAATGGCTTACCATGGGAATCAAACTGGTAGCTTTATAAGAAGAGGAAGAGCTACGGGGCAAGCATGTTAACACACTGAGGTCCCTCACCATGTGATGCCCTGCACAACCTCAAAACTCCACAGAGAGCCCCCGCCAGCAAGAAGGCTCTCACCAAGTGTGGCAACTTGACCCTGGACTTAGCCTCTAAAACTGTAAGAAATAAATTCCTTTTCTTCACAAATTACTCAGTTTCAGGTATCCTGTTTTGCAACAAAAAACAAACTAAGACAAGCTGCAAGATTTCCCCTAATGTACTTATTCCACTGACATTGTGGACCTAGATAACCAGATCGCAGACTCCCAGCGCCATTGGATATTTTGGATATCTAGATATTTTGTCTCTACCTTCTGAGAACTCACAATTTTTACTGATTTATGTTGGGTAAGGAGATAATTAATGACTTTTTTCTCCTATTCTCAAATTATTTGAACTCTGTTCACAACACTTTTATGATGAAAAACTTGGCCAGGCGCAGTGGCTCACACCTGTAATCCTAGCACTGTGGGAGGCTGAATCAGGAGGATCACTTGAGGTTCAAGACCAGCCTGAACAAGAGCAAGACCTCATCTCTACAAAAAATGGAAAAAAAATAGCTGGGCATGGTAGTACATGCCTGTAGTCCCAGCTGCTCAGGAGGCTGAGGCAGGAGGATCACTTGAGCCCAGGAGTTTGAGGTTGCAGTGAGCTATGTTGATACCACTGCACTCTATCCAAGGTGACAGAAGGAGACTCAGTCTCAAAAAAAAAAAAAAAGATCTATTATGGTTACAACTATATCAAGAAGCACATGCCTAGGAAAAAGACCAGAATGCAATACACCAAAATTCTAACAGTCTGTGTTTAAGTGGTCATAATCATAGTTAATGTTCCTCCTTTCTCCCTCTCTTCCCTAAGGCTTGGCAATGTGGTTATATTATTTTATAATAAAAATAATCATTAAAAAATTTTAGAGACTCAAAAGGAAGTTATGTACCCCAAAACTTTAGTTTTGTTGCTGCTTTTATACAACAGTGCCTCCTATTCTCTAAGACCCTCAGCAGCTACTCACCGCCTCCCCTAATTTGTAAAATGGGCACTGTACTTGCCTGGGACTCTCCTCACCTCACTAGTCTGCCAAACAACAAAACACACCCCGATTATCAGCACGGCATTCCCTAAAGGGCTGGACTGCTCTCCCCTGCTCCCCCAGGAATGCCCACACACCCTTCCTGACCTGCGCACAGCAGATGCTCCACGATGTCTGGATGCCTGTTTCGAATCACATGACGTGAAGCGAAGGCCACTTGTTGCCATATCTGAGTGAGATCTGTTCATTGAAAAGGCAGAGTCAGGTGTTTATTTCTTTGTCCTGTGGGAAAAATCTCCACAAATGCAAGCATACAATACCAGCCCTTCAATTATTTTAAACATCTCACCTCCATTTCTTACCAATTTTAAAAATCAGGTAACAATACCGTGTGTTACTATATTTAATCAGTACAAAAAAAATAAACAAAAAAAATTAAAAATCAACTAACAAAAGTTTCCTGCTATGTGTTGAACATTCCAGAAATATAGCCCCAATAAAATAAACTTGTTTCTTTTTATTCTAGTATACAAACTAAATTAATTGAAACCACTCTGTAGCTCTCCACCTAAAGATTACATTGTAGTTTGAATATATCCTTCCAGATCTTTTCCCAAGTACATCTATGCATATTTTATTAAAACTTTATTAAAGATATTTATTATAAGTTATTATATACTGTAATTATCCTGAATCTTTTCTTAATAAACCGAGTTGCTTTATCACACTTAGTGTCTATACAGCATTCTTCTGGCATTCTACTGAATGAAAGTACCATAATTTGTTACCTGTCCCTCATTTTTAGATATGTATGTTGCTCCCAAACTTTTGGTATTATAAACTACTGTAATAAACCCTCTACTCACCTGCCTGATTATTTCCTGAAAAAAAATTCCTGATATCAAGGGCATGTATTTTGTAATGTATTTTATTTTTAATAAACTGCCTAGTTTTCCATTATATATACATATATATGAAAGCTCCTTTGTTCACAAGGAAGATTCTGATTCATCCTTCTAGACCACCTTCTCCAGAGTGAAATCCTACTCTCAAATGACTCACAAAAAATACATAATAATATGTATATAGAGAGAATAATGAAACAATTGTGGCAAAATGTTAACAGTGGATTAAGGGTATTCAAAAGTTCTCTGTTATTATTCTTGCACTTTTTCTGTAAGTTTGAAATTATCACAAAATAAGATGTTTTCTTAAAGATAGCTTGGTATAAAGATGATTCTGTAACAAAGGGCAGAGACAGGGATGGAATGCAAGTGGCCTCAGACACCTGTGGACCAACCAAGGCCAGTGGAGAATGCCACGGTCTCGGGGTGAGGGGCACACGGACAGTCCAGCAATCACAGATGCTTTGGTGGCAGAGGCAGCAAGGAAAGAAGCCAACGCAAAGACAACAGGGTGGAGCCCTCAGCCAAGGAGCAGGACCCAGACCAAAGCCATCCCTACCCCACTTCTTCCTGCACCCTATGTCACCTTGGAAGGAGAAAAGAGAGGAGAAACCTTTGAGAAGGGAGAGATATAGGCCTGATGCAGAGTATAAATTTTTACTTATTCATGGACATTCACAGATTTAATGATTAGTTAATGAATTAGCAGATTCATGGCATTTACCACTCCCACACTTCCCCAAAACCCTGAGTCACTCCGAAAGAGACTGTTTGGAATCTGCACAGATGATGTAATCTTTAATTGAAAACTCAATGTGTTTTTCTGTCTTCAATGAGGTTGAGCATTCCAGAGTAAAGTGAGAACAGCTGAAAAGAAGAAAAGTTGTTCACTTTCACATAAAATATAAAGTGTGACTCAGACCGTCCTCACTGAGAAAATGGAAAGTAGGGCTTTCTATCTCTTTCAAGAAAAAGAAATTACCCCCAACAGATGCTACTGCCCACAGTCACAGCAATTTACTAAGTTGGAAACCCAAACCAGAGTCCGGGCATGGTGGCTCATGCCTGTAATCCTAGCACTCTGGGAGGTCGAGGTGCGAGGATCACTCAAGGTCAGGAGTTCAAAACCAGCCGGAGCAAGAGCAAGAACCCATCTCTACTAAAAATAGAAAGAAATTAATTGGCCAGCTAAAAATATACAGAAAAAATTAGGCAGGCATGGCGGTGCATGCCTGTAGTCCCAGCTACTCGGGAGGCTGAGGTAGCAGGATTGCTTGAGCCCAGGAGTTTGAGGTTATAGTGAGCTATAGTGGACGCCTCTGCATTCTAGCCCAAGTAACAGAACAAGACCCTGTCTCAAAAAAACAAACAAAAAAATCCTTTCCCCACTAAAGGGCTTTCTTATTTCTAACAGAAAACTTCTTACCTCACCTATTTTTTTTGAGACAGAGTCTCACTTTGTTGCCCAGGCTAGAGTGAGTGCCATGGCGTCAGCCTGGCTCACAGCAACCTCAATCTCCGGGGCTCAGCGATCCTACTGCCTCAGCCTCCCGAGTAGCTGGGACTACAGGCATGTGCCACCATGCCCGGCTAATTTTTTGTATACATATTTTTAGTTGGTCAATTAATTTATTTCTATTTTTGGTAGAGACGGGGTCTCGCTCAGGCTGGTTTCGAACTCCTGACCTTGAGCAATCCGCCCGCCTCGGCCTCCCAAAGTGCTAGGATTACAGGCATGAGCCACCACGCCCGGCATTACCTCACCTATTAATTATGCTTTCTCACCGCATGACTGTACTGTGAGAGAGGAGTAAGCATGCTGGGATGCAGGACAAAACACCGAGTTTCTGTCGCAGGTGTGCCAGCCACTTGCAAGCAGTAGACTGGACCACTCATCCACAAAAGCAGAGGAAAGATAACAACACCTGCCCTGTCTATCTCACAGGGATGTTACGAGGAAGAAAGGTGTTCTGTTTTATAAAATCACTTTTTAAACTGAAACATCACATAGATGTAAGGGGATGAAAATGGTGCTGATGTGATTAGAAGAGTTAAGTGATGGGAGCCAAGAACTTCCCATTAAACAGACCACACTTCCCTGCTACTCAGCAGTGCTGCTTCATGCTTCCTGCAGTCACAGGGCAGAGGCATTTGCCATTTTCGTCATGTCCCTCCAAGTGGGAATGCAGATATTTTCAGGACACAGAGCAAATGCAGGTTTTCAGTGTGATACTGAATGGGGGGAAAGTGTTTTCATTTCTTTTAAAGCATCACAACCCAAGACAAAGAGTAAGAAGAAATTTTTTTAACAACAATGCTGAAGACAAGTTTTTCTTTCATTTGCCTCATGATCCACAAGAGGAAGGAAAAAAGAAAAAACAAAAAGGCTGCCTAAAAGTCATTTTCTCAGGCTAGATAGTGTGTCTCTCTCTGGGTTCATAGATTGGAGTTTAAAACTGTATAATTATCAGTCTCCATTTCAGTTGTGGTGAGCATCTTTTAAGCTTCCTAAGGACAGGAGCTGTCTGTCTTAGCCCAGAGGTGTTCAATGAATGTTCAATGAATGAATGACATTTTTATTGATTCTATTAGCACACTTGCATCAAATACAGTCTTGCTACTTGGCATTTTATGTCATGTATGTAGATCATGGAAAGTATCCATGAATATTTTATCACAGAGACCTTCATTCACAAAGAAACAGCTTTCAGGAAATTCAAGGGCTTTCCCCACCAACATCTATTAGTAGAAAAGACAAATGAAACAGAAGGAGAAGCATATAAATACTCAAGTAATTAAACCCCAGAGTTTAATTTTCTTTAGCTCTTCAATATGTGGCTGTTTTCATAGTTGATGTGCTGTATTTATTCCACCAATGGCATTAAGCGGCACACAAAATGATTTTGCTTTACAAGGATGCTATTACTTTAAAAATCTAAGTTAATATTATGAAGGGATCATGGCAAATAAATACTATATATTGGTTCCTGGTTTGCTGGATCATGAAAAGGCTCAAATTTTGCCCCAACTACTAACTAAGAAGATAATGACTTTAGCCCCAAACCACAAGAGAAATTCAAGTCTTGGTCCCATGCTTCCCTGCTTTCTAAAATACAGTCACCTTTAATGACTTGAAATAAGATATTCTATAACACACTAATCTGAAGTGATCACCAAAGAAATCCATTCATACCACTTGAATGTCAGTAAAGACTTTCAACACCTGTGGACTGATGAAATAGCAAAAGAAAAGTAAACAATGCATGAAATTCACATCAAACTCATGTTCTGTTTGGTCTTCCTCAATCATACACCTAAGTCTCTCTCTCTCTAAGTCAGAGAGTGTGGATTGAACAGCACTATTAAGTCACTTCCTAACTGATTAAGTCACCAGAGCCACACAACATTTGATGGAGTATGGAGATATTAGTATGGAGAAGAGTCTCTGATAGTCACAGGCCTGTCCTGTCCAGCATGTTTATCATGACTTCAGTGAGGACATAGTAAACATTCTTATGGTATCTATGGATGTACAGTCTCAGGATGGCTAGTTCACATCATGGACACCAGAGTTGAGATTCAAATAATCTTAAAAAGAGTAAAATCATCTGTGGGGATTGGTTCCAGGATCCCTGAGGATACCAAAATCCATGGATGCTCAAGTGCCTTATACATAATGCCACAGTATTTGCATATAATCCATGTATATCCTGCCATATACTTTTAAATCATCTCTAGATTACTTATAACACCTAACACAATGTAAATGCCATGGAAATTGTTATATTATACTGTTTATTGTGTATATTGTTTTTAATTGTTGTGTTGTTATTTTTTACTGTTATTCTTTCAAATATTTTCTATCCAAGGTTGGTTGAATTCTCAAATGCACCACCCTTGGATACAGAGGGCCAATTGTAATTCTAGGAGGAACCCAGGAAAAACAAAATTGTCACGTGTAAAACAATTGTCCAAATACAAGATGAGGAGACACAACAAGAGTTCAGAAACAACTCTTTGGGTTTTAGCTGACAAGTTTAAGGAGTGTAATATAGCTAGAAGTGGGGAGGGGGACAAGGAATAATAATTTGACAAGTGTGGTAGATTATATTGACAGATGGCCACAAATTCTTTGTCACTCTTCCTGTCAAGAAATGAGGTCTCTGGCCCCTCCCCTTGAATTGGGATGGTCTCTGTGACTACTTGACCAATACTAACACTGTGTTAGTTTGAGGGCCCTGGGCTTAAAGACTAGCAGTTTATATTTCACATCACCTGGAATACTGAAGCTTGGAACCATGCTGCCATGTTGTGAGGAAGCTCAACCAGCCACCT